TGCAGCGTGGATGGCGGCGTGATGTCGCGTCACCTTTTAGGTTTCACTCACTTGTGCTTGATTTAGAGAAAGAAATCCGGTTGCTGAAACAGTAACAGTGCACTCGCATATCTCGGTACATCTGTATGCTAATTAACCATAGTTTGTGCACAGGGTCTGGTGGGAAGCAATGACCTGACAAACTCACAGAGAGTCAAGTGAAACACCGGGTCCCTGATTTGCTCAGGCACCAGAAAACACACAGGCGACAGACTTCATACTGTCTACCAGAGATGCACACTGTGTAATGCATAGCTTGTACAATGCCATCAGCTCGCCAGGTAGGCTGAAGTTTGTTTACAGTGACAGTATGCTGTTGGCGTCTACGCTGTACGAAACTGTGTTTTCTTTCCGGTCACCAGATGGAAAGGTATGCTTCTTAATAGCCAAATGGTTACCCACAGCCACACAACGTGAAAGGACGAGCAAAGTTGTCATCTAGCCTACAAGTTAGTGACCGTGTCAGAATGGCAAAACCATATGTCCGCAAGCTGGGTGGTTGAAGCGTGCTGGCCCTTTTCTTTCTTATCTCAGCTGAAATGCAGCACAGTGTTGTTGCTCACGGAGGGCTGACAGCACAGTTGCCAAATGGGACTTTGCTACAGGGAAACCTCCTGCTTCATCCCGACTTCACTAAAATGTGACACAACAGAGAGAGAGAGAGATGCTGGCCGTGCACTCGTCGTTACACTACAAAACACACGCAAACACACGAACACACACGCACAAATGGCTCATTAGTATTTCTACTCACCGCTTGAAGTGCTCAATGATTTTCTCTTCTCGTACATTTTCGGGTAAATTTCCCACCCATAAATGTCTGGTTTCCCGGACCATACTGTGTGCTCCTGCTCCCCTATCATACAGATGAGTTTGCTATGTCAGTTTCTCCCCGTGCAAAATTGAAAAGGTTTGCAAAATAAACGCCGGACAAGAAAAAAAAAAATACTCGGCGCAAATCATTGACTGGTCGTTGTGACCCAATGTAAACCATTAGGTTGGATCCCCGCACGCTGTTTGATACTCTTCACTGTTAAAGCGCGATCTTGCACCTCATGAACGCGCTCCGGACTGTTCCCGTGACTAGGCGCGTCCCTGACACCATGCGACCTTTGGGTGTCGAAAGAAAGCATGTAGCTTCCTAAAAAGATGCAGCAACTTCGCTTGTAATGAGAGGCACACCGCGCAGGCGTGGCTTTGTGTGTGAACCTCTTTTTTTCTCCCCGATGAGATAGTCTGGCGCCCGTGCGCATGCGTGAGAAAACCCCTGGTTGAATGAAGGTGCTTTGACATCTGAGAAGCTTTTGACTCACAGGAGGATCCCATCACTGCTAGTTGGGTATGGCAAGGTGAGGCACTTTGCATACAGTGGAACCAAATGAGTGTTTTGTTATATAATAATCTACATTTTATTTTGTACCTATGCACAGAAAACATCACCCCAAAAGTGAGCAGTAGGACCACATTTAAAAAAAAAAGTGAGCAGTGGGAGCCGTTGGGATTGCTGCCTCGAGGCTGATAGTTTGCGAGGTGCATCAATCATTTAACACTCTGACTAAATTCTAATAATTACAGGATGGTAACTGGGATGGGCCCAGTGTGTGCTGAGCCAGCCTCCTGTAAACCTGAACAGAATAAGCAGTTTGTTAAATGGATGGATGGACTAATTATTGGTTATCTTTTAGTCAGCACTTATTGCTTTATTTGTCTCCAGAACGTAGGTTAACATTTTATATCAGTAAGTTAATATTACATGGAAGGATTCAGTCGTACACAAGAGTTGACCGACCCCCCCCCCCCATTTATAGTGTGGAAGGTTTTTACACATGATGTGGAAACTTTAGCCTACAGGAAACAGGAAATCAAGGGCCTGTTGTAGGCGACTCTGAGTGTTAACGTTTAGAACATTTGAGGCTGTGATGAGCTTTAGTAAAACAATATGCTGTACATAAGTTAAACTCTGTGTAGACCCCATTAAAGCTCAATTATTGCTCTTAAGTTAATAGAGCAGCTTCATGATTCTGTAAAGCCTAATAACAGAATGAATTACAGCCTTGAATCTCTATTTCTATGTTAGGAGAGGTTTGTTATCATTAACTGTACCGTTTGGCTCATTGAATAACAGCATATATACATTTAACACAAACTAAAGTAAAGTGTTCAGAGACTTGGAGAATATATGTCAAGGAGCAGTGTTACTGAGACATGATTTAGGAAATTTAGTTCTCCTTTAGTTTGTCTGTGTAATAGCAGTTAAACTTAAAAAGCTTAAGAGATCCCATTTAAAAGGACATTCACAAAAAGTAAGAAGGAAAGAAAGTTAAGAAAAAAGTTTTCAAACCAAATCTATGTGTCAGTAAGTTGACTTAATATATTCAAAAGGAGAAATCAGAATATTCTTGAGCAATGCATTGCTATCTGTTAAGATCACTGATAAAACAAACACCACTCAAATGAAATGATGCATACATTTTGCTGACGGACACAATGAGACACAAAAATAATAAATAAACACACAAGGGGATTGACACAGTATTGAGCAGGAGAACAATGTGACAGACACGACACAACAAAAGTTATTCATAAAGCACTTCATCATAATGAGGTTTATCATTTGTCTGATTCCACTTTGCTTTGTGCACTTTGTATTAACATGCTGTCTTCCTTTTGCTTTTAATGCCAAAACTGCTACTACTAATAGAATACAAAATGGCGTGGAGGCTATTAAGTCAAAAACTTTGACCTGGTCTGAGCTAATAAGTAACAAGAGCAATTGGGCCTGTGTCCAAAGGTTCAGGAGACCAGTGGTGATAAGCACTGATGAGAGGTAAATAAAGGCTGCACTATTTCTTTGTGTGTCTGTGTTTTCCCAAGACTATCCCTGTTAGTAACATTTTTATGATACTTGCTAAATGTGTAGGCTGCTTATAAATTAATGTCAACTTAATGAAGGAGTCAACATATGTAAATAAAATGGTGGGTGAAGCTCAGTTCCTTTACATTTTGCCCAAACTGGAGCTGAATGTAACTCTTAGCCAATAGAAAACGATTATTTAATTAAAAATTGGCAGAGAAAAGCTCTGTTACTACACTACAGCATTATTCTGCTTTTGTTACTATATTAAGCACGCACATTAAAGGCAGAAATGCGCTTGCGTTGAAATGCGGTAACAGGGGACAGGCAAAACGGCTCTGCGCATGCGTCCAGCGTGCCTATCAGATGAGAACAGAAAAGTCTGGAAGTCTCCAGAGGAGGTGACAACAACTGCTCAGTCATTTCAATGGGCATTTTCACCATATTCGGGTGCTCATGGAGAACGTCCTCCCTGTGTCTACTGAATTCGTCCTGATGTGGAACCTTATTCAGTTAAAAATCAAATAAACCTATGGGAGTACAATTTCCTAATTTGGTGGATCTACTTGACACCAAAACTAAATTTCCTCTTCAGTGATTCTCAGACCTGGATTATCTTGGGAACTGGACCGCCAGGCTAATGTGCCCACTGTAGTTTCACACGCCTTTTTTGACATGGAATGACGGGAGTGATATAACAAAAACCTTCTCATGGAATATGTTTCTGTCAGTCCACAGCTCTCAATAAAGACACATCTTATGGGCAAAACACCGGCGTCAAAATGTGGATTTAATTTGATGTGTGTGTGTGTGTGTGTCTCAGAGAACTTCTAAATTGTCACAAGAAGTCAGGCTTAAATGTTACTGAGAAAATGTAGCAGAGATTGGGATGTAAATGCGGTAACAGAATCAAATCTCTCATAAAAGCATCTTGTGTGTTTATAAAGCGCGTTTGGTGTCAACAATTTCAGTTAATGTGGACTTTTTTTTAATTTTTCAATAAATTCCTCTGTATCTGCGCGAATTTAGATGGATCTAGAGTCTGAGTACAACCCAGTAGCCTAGCCTTTCCTTTGTCTAACGCCATTTTGTGTGACTTTACCGCACTAACGTTGTCGTCAGCCATTTTGCTTTTTCTTTTCAAGCAGACAGTCTCTGGAGGGACATGACAAAAGCGGAATGATATTTCCAGGCCCGTACATCGTGTGAATATGCGTTAACCGACAAAAGTGACAACATTAATAAACTTACCTATCTGCCTAGGCTGTGTGAGATGGAGTTAATGTCTGCGTTTGTTATTAACGCTCACAGCTGTGTCAGCATATTGCATAGAAGGAGAAAAATGCGACCTGTGTCTGTTTTGATGAACGTATTTTGTTTTCGGCAATCCAGTTATGTCCAATATTAATGCGGATTTGTTTATGGAAATATCTCATGTGAGCTGTGGTACCGTAAAATATATCCCCTCTGAAATCCATAATGTATGTAATGTGCATTATGTGTGACATTATGTTCTCCTTTTGTTGAATACCTTTTGTGTGTTCATTGTATTTAAAAGAATATGATTCTTTAATGTTAGAAATTGAAGAAAAGAAAATTCAATTGACATTTTGTTCCCTCCTTAAATAACAACAATTAGTGTGATAATTAGAATAAGATGATTTCTGGCAGCTGGGCTTGATAATAGCAACATAACATGCACATTATAATCCTCACTTAGTTTGACCCTCATCCATCAGCAGGCCGGAAAGGGTTACAAAGCCCCAAGGCTCTGGGGCACCACAAAGAAAATCTGGAACAATGACAATTTTCTCCAGCAGTAACTGGCATGCCACACTCTCTCCAAGATTACAGCGTTAATTCATCCTAGAGGTCACAAAGACGCCTAACGTCCAGAACTGCTAGTTTGTCACCTGTACAGCGTTAATGAACTAGACAATGACAAAGAAAATTAGATTTATAAGAGAGTACCAGAGAATAAGTCCTATTCCTGACTCTGAGTTTAAAAAGAAACTGTTATGTGATGCAGGTTATACTGTGGTTGTTGGAAATGCTTCTTCTGTAAGGTTAAAGAGCTGGAAACATTTTTATTCATGAGATAGTCACATTGTGCTCCTCTGACTTTTTAATGAAAAAATATCACATTCTAAATACAAAAGCACTCATTGTTGATGTAGCCCTAATAGGACTTACGCTAATTAATGGCCATTAAAAATAAATGCCACAAGTTTTTAAAACCCCAGAGTGGCTATCTTTGGTGCTCCTTCTGTTTTGGCTGTGGTCCTGGTCGACGCTCCCTCTTTACGCTGTCTGTATAATCCTCTTCATCCTACATGCACACGACAAATAAAAGACAGATGCATAACGTAAGATGATAATAGAGCATATAAACAGGCTGCTGGCCAGGAAGAGCATAGACGACAGACAATATCTACTGACTCTGCTTATATATATTATTATTATAATCATTGTCATTCACCACAAAATCATACATTATATTTATACCAACAATAATATATTGAACTGGCATTTTATGATATTGTAGAAAGAATATATTTAATAAGGCAAGCTCAGTGAAAATGAAAAGTAGGCTCAGTATTCTGAATCAGAGAATACTTTGACCTGAATCTGTCTAGGGGATCTTAAACCTTCTCCACCTGGGACACAAGTTTGAGAAGTTCAGTCTCATCTTGGGACCCAGTCTAATGAACACATTGATATTCTGCCCCAGTTTCTGGGTCCCGATGGACAGAAAGTGCTTTCGGCCTGTGCGCTGCTTCCAGGGAGACTCACTGACCTGTGAGGATGCCGCATCCAGCAGATCCATAGTGGGGATTAGACAGCTGGCCTCACCCAGGAAACACATTAAGATTTGGAGCACGTCGGCCCAGCGTCCAACAGTCAGCATCAAGACCATCAAACCTCCGAGACGCACCACTACTGTGTTCATGACAGTCTGGCTGCCGCGCAGACGGTGCTGTTCGTCTGCAGAACCAAAATACAGCATTAGAGGGAAATATCTGGTGAAAATGTATAAAATTAGAACAGGTCTATAGAGGTGTAAAACATCAGGATGCTCAAATTAATGATGGATGTATTAGAGGTCATACAAGATCCCTAAGACAGGCATGAAACTAATGAATTACTAATTGTTTTCCTCAGTCCTGAGAAGGGTCCATGCTATCACACCATTACAGGCTGTGGCGTTATTTAAGGTCCTGCCCAGATTTATCAGTGCCTATAAGCACTGAACCAAAATCTCTGAAATGAATGTTTCCCATTTTACATGTTTCTCACCCTGCATGTACACAACCAACAGTGTGTAGCAGATAGTCAGTGGTGTCCAGAACCTAAGGGCCTCTGTAGCAGAGAGGAAGTGTTTATTAATGATTGATATGGCAGCCACCACAGCCACAGAGAAAGCAATGATCATTGTCTTGCACAGCATGGGCAGCAGGCAGCGGCCTGATGTGAGGAGGCTGATGCAAATGCCGCAGTAGCGCTGCGAACTGTGGAGTTTATACAGGGCCATGACATGGTGCAGCAGGAGTGTGGCCTTTCGAGCCAGGAACCAGCTGAGTGCTGCTGCCAGGAGTAGGCATAGCCAGCGCTGGGACGCCCCCTCGTGGAGAAAGTGCAAACTGCAGCTTAGGGCACAGCCCAGAGAGAACTGGCTTTGAACTAACAGCTGCTGCAGAAATTTCCTGGACTCCTGGGGATTAAATGAGCATATGAAAAGAACTGATGGATGAATCAAAACAGATGATGGGCTGTTTATTATAACAGATATCATGAGTCACCAGGACATGATAAATCCTAGAAATTAATTCAACCAAACTGAGTAGTAGAAGCAACAAGCAAATCAGATGGTACAGTTCAGTATCAGGCATATTATTATTTTATGTAATTGGTTTCTTACTGGTCCAGCTGTGACCCATCCAGAGACAGCTCGAAGACAAAACTCTAGTACCACCAGGGAGGCAACACGGGAGCCCACTACAGCCAGCATCCCAGCCACCAAGAAAAACTGGAGCATCCCAGTAAGTCCAGTTCTAGTTCCCCTTTGAGGTGTTCTCTGGCTTGATGTATCTTTACCATTTTTATCACTCCAGCTGTGGGTTGTAGGGAAAAAAATCAAGTAAGAAATAAAACTAATCTATTAAGCATCTGTACTAGCACTGGAAGAGGAATGTTTAGATGAGAAACAAATTGATTAAAAGGGAATTTCCTCACCTCTCCTCCTCTAGGAATAAGTGAACTCTCACCAGGGAGCATAGCACAGAGATCCCACATGCACCTATGAGTCCTGCAGGTCAAATAACATTGAATTTGTAAGCAATAACACACTCCAGTCACCTAACATATACAGTTAAGAAACAGCTTGTATGAGTGTGAACGTTAGAGAAAATCAATGGATGGAGCTCACCTTGAAGTAAACTATCCAGTGGATTTGTATCTAGAGTCAACCACCCTGGTAGGAAGTAGGAAGTCGGAAGAAGCGACGTGAAAAAGGATAACATCGTACTACCTTTGACTTAAAAGAAGAAACTTTAATCTTAAATGTCACAAGTTTTACAAACAATACATGGAGATAAATCTAATTTAGGCAGTCGGGAAGCATATTTTAGGGTTATTCCAGATCGAGAAGTATCAGCTCAGCCCTTCTGTTTATCTCTGCTGCCTGAGCTTTGTTCATGCAGAAGTCTGTTTTGTGTCCTGTACCAAAGGTCATCTGAGTGTCGGTGGAGCAGAGGCCCTCAGCAGCCTGAGTCATAACAAGATAATGGAGGTTATTGCACCATGGGAAATTTTTGCACTCTAAAATGATGGCAGGTGTTAGTTGTCCTCTCAGGTTGTCTGCAGGCTACAACCGTTGCTCTGACAAAGAGCTCTTTATCTCATAGTTCTTTTTGAAAAATCATATTTTTCCAGAGCAACATTTAAAGTCAAGTTTATTAATAGATTTGTATTTATATTACATTTCAGAAGACAGTGGATGTAATATGTATTTGCTTTGGATAAAGATAATATTTCATGCTTCAACAAATTGTCTTATTATAGGGTCAGCAAGAAAGCCCATTAGTTATATATATATATTGCATTGCTTGATCCAAAAGTGTTAATGTGTTAAATATATATACATATATAATATGTGTTAAAACATTTGTAATATTAATTTGACAATTAATATAAAAAAGCTTAGGCTCATTATTTTAAGGTATAGGTATAAGGTGTAGCTGGTGTTCAGGGTCATAAGCTTTAATTCTTGTTTACGAGGGGGCAGCAGTGTACAACATTCATGTTAATTAACTGACAACAATCACCTCCACTGGGCCCTGCAAAGGGATAAAACTGCAGAAAAAGTAGCACAAGGACTGGCTACAGTCTTACTCTGAGTACCTTAGGAAAGTAGCTTAGGGCCTGTGGATAATTGTAAAGCCCCAAACATTGGAGCCATCACTAACCCCTTAACCTGACATCAGTGTATCAAATAATACAGACACTATTAGATAATAATATGTTTTTCACATAAATGATTTTATGATGAGTGTTCAAATCTAATGAAACCTGAAAATTAGTTAATGTACGTCTACACCTTAAATGTGCAAATGTAATGTGAATGCATGTTAATTGTACAGGTAAAGTGGGTATTGGAACGGATGCCTGAAGGTGCCATCTGTGACATTTAGACTTTAGTACATTTATGATAATAAAATGAGAGAGTAGCTGAGATTGCTCAATTGCTTTATATGTAAAAACACAGGATCCTCGACAGTTGCTTTGTTTCCTGCTTTCCCACACTGTGAAACCAACACATCAAACACTGTATTTTTTTTTTTTACAGATTGGTGACTGGGTATTATATCCTTTTAAATATTGCTATTAATGATACAGCAGAAATGTCATGGATGTGTGCAGGGTTGGCTAATTTTGCTTTACATATATTTCCATTTTTATGCTACTGTATACTTCTTTTCCACTACAATTCAGATGGAAATATATAGTTACTGGTTACTTTGCAAATTCCAATATACAATACACTATATATAATCGACAAATAAATTACTGGTATGAGTACAAAAATTAGCCCTATCTTCACCAGCTGCAAAATTAAAGTAATGCAAATATGATACATTATTCTAAATAGGCCGTTCTTAATAATGATTGCTTTTTCTTTTTGTATATTTCAACACTAGTACAACTGTACTAATACTAAGTACAATTGTGTTATCTGTTGTTACTGTTGTACTATTTGTGTTATCTGTTGTTGCTGTTGTACTATTTGTGTTATCTGTTGTTGCTGTTGTACTATTTGTGTTATCTGTTGTTTGTGGATTCGTACCGTTGTGGATTCTTACTGTTTTTTCTTTTTTCTCTTGTACATAGTGTTTTTTATTTATTATTTTTTCCTACTCCTACTGTTTTTATACTGTTTTTTTTCTCTATCCAAGTTGCTGCTGCAACATTGGAATTTCCCCATTGTGGGACAAATAAAGGAATATCTTATCTTATCTTATCTCATCTTATAATTCTTAATGCTACACTTTTAATTGTAACAGAGTATTCCTGCACTGTGGTATTGTTACTTTTACTTGTTGAAGAGTACTTCTTTTTCTACCAGCATTGGTCACCAACACACAAATCTGAAGTCTTTCATGTCTTTGAAAATTAATGTATGATATTCATCTTTAAGGCTCAAAATCAGTTTGGTCACAGAACATACAGACAACCTGACACCTTTGGGTCTGAGTCCAGTCCGACTATAGCCAAACTATGATGACACCTAGAAAATGAAAATAAATATTGTAGCAATTACTAGTGACGGCTGATATTTAGAGAAGGAATGATAAAAATAATACAGTAACTTTGACGTTATACGATCACTGAAAAGCAGTTGACAACTGGATACATTTGCTGTTGTTTACTGACTCATCTCTAAAATAATGCTGTTATTTGGAAGTCTGTGGATTGATGTTTTTTTCATGTGTAAACTAAATTATGTGATTTCAAGAAAGGCAGGGAAACACATGTGTGTTAAAACAAAAAAGAGCCTCCAATTGTTGTCATGGTTGTATTGTGGAATGACTTCCAGCCATCTGTTTTAAGTGTTAATTCTAAATAGAAGAATGGGTTTATTACCAAAGGTCATACTACAAAGCTCTTGCTTTAACTAAGGAAGATATTTATACTGTTGGCACTTTAAAATGGTTTTATTACAATTCAATAATTTTTCACATATATCAAATAACATTGTTATCAGCAGTAAAAACTTTCCTCTGTCACAACATGAACATTTTGAATTTTTCACATAACAATGGAAGCAAACATGGTTACAAATGTGCATAAGAAAACACACCAAGATCCATTTTATTCCACAGGAATCCACCCAAAACTTTCACACCGCATTCCTGACCAACAGCATGCACAATACTGCCATGACAGAGCAAGGTGATGTAACCTCTGACCTCCCTGTGGAGGTGAAAAGACAGCCTCTAGGGGGCATTAGCCCTACAAGTAAACTGTAAGTTCCCTACAAAGAGAAACAGAGTGAATATTTTACAGTGAAGATAGAAGATGACTGAGGGTTAAACTGGTACCTGATAGAAGCCACTGATAACCAGTATTATTATAGTGATATATTAAATATCCCCTGGAATTGTATTGCCATGGTGCAACATTTGGGGCATCATGTAACAGTGAAGCTCTGCATTGAAAGCAATTAAACAGTGCATCCCTTAACCCCATCTGCAGCTAAATGTACACACCTCACAAACAACATTCCACATCTGTTTCTTGATGATCAACAAAAACTCATGTCTCCTTCCGCCCGTCTCAGCTCTCACATTGGCTCATGCAGCAGTGACGCTCCTTTCTTCCTGCAGAGCGAGGACCTACGTTTTCTGAGCTCTCTCTTCTACGTAGAGCTGCATCTGTTAAAGACGGAGGACAACCGCACATCAGTAAGAGCAAATGGGGAAATTTGAACCTGACATAATGACAATTCAATAAAATGTAATCACAGAGTTAAACCTCGACTTGATTTTGGTGCCTATGTTTCTGTCTTTGAACAGATAAACTGAGCAGTGAGTGGGATGTTTCCACTCACTTTTACTATGTCAGATGTCATGGTCTTCAGTGGGATGAGTCTAGGCTCCTGCATGTGGACCTCCTGCTCATCAGCAACTATCCATGGAAAATCCTGAAGACGGAAATGCACAAATGTAACATATAATCATTCAGTGTTTTTACATAATTAGCGCTAATTACAATACTACAAAGACATAAACAGGCTGCTCTGTTATTATTAGAAGTCGTACATCATAAATGAACTTGTAGGTTTGCAGTGTTGTAAAATCTCACCTTGATGACTTGAACCTTCTCCATGTTGCGTGTAGCAGCATCTCTGGTATGTACTAGAACTGTAAATGAACACCCTGTGGCAAAAAAACAACAGGTCACAGATAAGTTTGATTTATATCTATTCACACCTGAATATATTTTACGACTCATATCATCTACTTTACAAAGTTATTGTCATTACAAGCTCGATTCTCTTCTGATTCTCTAGTCCTTAGAATTACAGCCCAAATCGCGTGAAGGAGTAATTCACTTCTTTAGAGGCTTGTTCAATCTCTCAGTCTCAGAGACTTGTATAGGAGGCAGGAGAATTGTATACTTATAATTGTATAACTAGTACGCCCTACAGCCTTCCTAAGGTTCTAAGGTTAAACCCAAATTCTGCCCCCTTTGCCAAGATTAGCAGGCATTAATTCTTACCATGGCTCTAACCCTGAGCCCAGCCAACTAAAAACGTGGAAACATTTGATTATCAGGGCTTTTTAGGGCACTCATAGTACTTTGTCCATTGTGAAGGAGGTGATATATCATTCTACCATATTGATGTTGGATTAATGATTAATGTTTGCCTGTGAATCGGAATAATTTGAGAGTGATAAAGAAACAAGAGTGCTCTGATGATGGAAAGTCAGTCAATTCATGCAACCGATTCATTTCTTGAAATGAATTTGATTAGGCTTTGGGGACCACTGGTGCAGAGACACTAATACGAGATACTGGGCTGAATCATGTCAGGAATCATACCAAAGACTTAGGAATATAAAACTGACAGGCAGAGGACATTATGTGTCTGCCACGTACTTCTCTTTATGTAATCGTCAGTGACATTACCTGGTGGGTTATTATTTAAAACAGCATCACACACACTGATCTTCAGGATGAATGCCCTCAGCAGCTGCTCCACGTGTGACAGTAATGTGTCGGAGCTGTAACAACAAAACCACATGCAGTCAGTGAGTATGATCACCCTGAAAATGTATTGCAAAATAAGAATTCTGTTTATACTCATTACTGATTTTTAAAAAGAAGAAGAAACCTGATGGACAGCAGTGTAGGTTGGGAAATCTCAAACACAAATCTCTCTACTGGATGATGCTCTTTGTCCATGATGACCACTACCACCTTCTCTGCATCATTCTGGGAGGGAAATGGAAGACTTCAGCAGTGTATACATGTACAGTAGGTGAGAGATGACACGTGTTATTAATGAACTACAGCGCCAGGCCATGTCTTACCTTCTCAATGAGTGGCTTTACACAGTGAAGTGTATCTTGGATATACTGATTCAACTCTGGGTGACATGACATCTGGAAACAAACATCAGAAACAGAAGAGCATTATTAGAGATATTAATAGGTAATAGGTAAGCCTCTCTTAAAAACTATGAGCATTGAGTAACTAGACATAAACTCATCTGTACCTGCACAGGTACATTGTATTTCTTCCTCTTCTGAAATATTCCAGAGGGATAAACTTCTCGGACATACAGGATGAGATGAATAGCGACCTCCAGGAACTCACACAGGATGTCAGCAACCACTGGAAGAGAGGAATCATATATTTGATCTGGTATTATGACAAAGTAAAACCAAACTCAATGCAATTTCGTGTTGCCGTCTTAGCTCCCATATAATGACAGGACTGCATACAAGTTAAAAGAGATTTTATAGATATAAACGCTGATGTGTATTACGCAATGCCCAATAGACCAGCATTTACCCAGAATTCAGCATATTTATGTTAATGTGTTATCTACTCATAGGCGAGGTCAGATTGAACTGTCAAATATATGAACAGTATTTACAAATGAGGGGCTACGATCGTTTAAAGCCAGCAGCGTTAGGTTGCTTGTCTTACCTTGTCCAAAATTGAGGTCTTGCCTTGTTAGAGTTGTCATATTTTCTTTCTCCTCAAAACTGTAGAATAAAAACAAGTAGCGTATTTTCGGCGCTGGCTGGCTCACGTTGTTAAACCGAGGGTCTGTCAACCGATGGGGAAGTACAGCGTCGGTCTCTACGATCACAAACGGAGTGTTATAAAACACAGAGGCAGAGTTTAAATCCAACTGCGGATAGAAACAGTTTCACGACCCGAGACGCGGCTTTTCCTCCGCTAATTCAACGCTCCACGGCGCATTACATTGACGTCGCCCGTGGTTTGTTTACAAGCAGCTCAGCGTCCACTCGTGATGACGTTGTTTGTCGCTACCTTGATATTTTTTTTTGCCTCTGTAGGTTATTAGAAGTTTTTATGCACAGTTGACCTCCTCCAAAAATACCATAGGTGGATGTGGAAATGTTTGTGAGGAGTTATATTAATAGGAAGCAGTGTGCAATGAGAGGGAGGTACAGAGTTGTCTCTTATGTCATTTTTCCTTTATTGAAACTGTGATGTAGATTCATAGCAAACGTATTTATTTCTTCTATGCTGTCACGATACAATCAGTTCATCACTGTTGAATGACTGTTATGACAAAAAGAAAGGCTGCCACTGGACTGTACACTGGTAAATGTTTCATTATGTTTGATAGACAGCACATCTATAAATATAGATTGTATTTCTAGCAATTACATCTTTACCACTAAATCTTAACAATGATTTAATATATTTTATTGCATTTGAAATATACTGTTGCTGTTTGTTTCCTTATACTGTTTATTCAACAATTTCCCTCTGGTTTAATTTGTTTTATATTCAGCAGCAGAACCATGACGTATCTCATCCAAAGCCCTTGTACAATCCCAAGCCAAAGCAGAACACTGGATGCTGTAATGCTGAGTGATACCCCCAACTCATCCCTGGATAAAGTTATGTGGGTCAGACTGAACAGAGCTCCACTGCCCTCCTCACTATTGTGGATACAGGAGTTCTCTAATACCATGAAAATCTAAAAAAACACTCACATAGCCTACTTTGACAAATGGACAGCTCTGTCTTGTGTGTCTCCGTTGTTCAAGAACTCTGTGGGACTTATAATGTTATGCTTTCTAATGTGTTTGTCTTCCTGCAGTTTATAAGGCTAATGTGCAACAAGTAATAGGTTTGACTGATATGAGAGTAAAAGGTTCATAGTGAGTATTTTGATACAGCCTTATGTTTCCCCCATAATTAATATCAGTATGGTGGAAAACACTCCAGAAAAACACCTGAGCAGTTTTAAGTTTTAAGGACACGAACATTTAGTTTATTTATATTAGTGTTTGGACAGTATTGAGCTTGAAAACACATTGAATTTGAAACAGAAAAAGTGAAGTTTATGTGCTGCATTTGCAATGCAGCAGGATAATGATCCTGAACAAACAGACACAGTAACCAAGGAGTTTCAAAGGTCTGACAGCAGAATGTCCTTGCCTGGCCAAATTAGTCACCTGACTGATCTAACTTTCAAAAGGAAAAAAAGGTCCCAAAAAACAAGTAAGAATAAGATGGCAACAGTTCCTAGCAATGCATCAACAGAGATCTGCTGATAGGCAACACATACACTGTGTTCCCAATGATTATGCATATGCTGTTTTTGTTCTTTTTCCCCTAAATAGTCGATATAATTGGCAGTCAATAGGATTTTTTATTCCTCTGCAATTATATCACAATCTGGATTTTATTAAACACAATTACCAATGATGACAATGGCATTTTTTTGCAAAATAACTCAAATTGCAGTGTTCCAAATTATTATGCAAAACAGAGTTTCAAAACACTCAATAGTTTCTAAAGGATTGAAAACAGAAATCTGTTGTATTTTTTGCATTGGGGGTAGTTTTTCTCAAATCAAAGCTATTCCAATCAAAAACATCTTTACAGATCGGGTTACATATCAACATAGGAGCCCTTCTTTGATATCACATTAACAACTCTCTCATTCATTGAACCTGTAAGTCCATGTACAGTTTTTGCCTGTATTTCCTTTGAGGATGCCAGAATTGCCTCCCAGAGCTGCTGTTTTGAGGTAAACAGCAACCCACCCTCATATAGCTTCCTGTTAAGGATGCTCCACAGGTTCTCAGTAGATTTCATACCTATTTAAAGATACTGCACTATTTCACGCTTTTCATCTACAGAAAGATATCTCTCCCTCCCACCCCCCATATTGCATGAAACCTGTGACTTGCTTCATAATGTGGAACAACATCCTTAAGTAGTTTCCCATTAATTAGGCTCACCTGGCAAACTAATTAAGACAAACCTGTCTGAGACTGATGTCAGTGATATAAACAGACATGGGAAGCAGCACAATTGAAAACTTTCATTGAAAAACGAAAAAATCTAATGTTTCTTTAATTGAAATCATATTTGCATAATAATTTGGAACACAGTGTGTATGGGTTGGAGGCACCAGATAGCCATTGACAGCAAAGATAGTTTGTGTTCACCTGAAAAGCATAGAAAACATTAACTGCAAGAAGTGGTTTTAGACAACTTGACATAAGGGTAAACCGGATTAAATTATATTTCTTTCAGTGACGTGTTTTAAGGTTTCTTTTATTTTGAAAACGAAGCCGTGTCAAACAGGAAATGTTCTATTAAATGTGGGTTGCTTGGAGACTGGCCGCAGAGCCACAGAGCAGTCATTAGTTGTGATACCGCAGCAGAAAGGTGATAAGGTTTACACTGAGCGAGATATGGAGGTATTCATACAATGAGGTGACGCTTACAAAAGGTAGGCAAGGTGGTGTTCATTAACAAACCTCCTTTTGCACGATATATTTCTAATAATACACCTTTTGGCAGTTAGCTCCATGTGTCATTTTTACGGTTTTTACACGCGATATGTATCTTTTAAGCTAAAGTAACGGTAATACTCGGGCTAACAACGTTAAACACTAACGGAACTAACGGAACTAACGTTAAATGTCAAATGAAGAGTTGTGAACAATGCTCTGGAAAGTAAATGTGCTCAATATCGTGATGTTAAACCCCCCCAAAGTTACATAAGACGTTTGGCAAATTATAAGAGATATACTTGTTTTTAAAAAAAAAAAAAAAAAAAAAAAAAAGCCATTCAGTTTGAACGATCATTTTTATTAGTTTAACAGGATTTTACAATCACCTTGGACCTTAATTGGATGTAAACATAGACCCATACTTAACTGTCAGTCATATATTAACTATCCTAGGCTACCATACCACAGTCAGTTTGCTTTATAGCAGCTGTAAATCTGCATCCTCAGGTGTTATCTCTGTAACAGGTCAAACACATTGGTCTTCTTTGCAGGTTGTGAAATTGTGCAAGTCATGCCTTTTTTGGAATTCATAGCTGGGAGCATTTCAGGTAAAAACAACAACAACAACAACAACAACAACAAAAAAACGTATTAATGAGAGATAACATGTATACATGTGGAGAAATAACATTTCCTTGTTGGTTATTGCAGGTGCAGTGGGATTGGCAGTTGGACACCCATTAGACACTGTGAAGGTTGTATGCAGAGATACTGAAACCCATAAACACGACTAAATGCACAAAAGTAGCTTTTTTCTGACTCCTCATGTTTTATGTGTAGGTGCGCCTGCAGGCCCAGTCTGTGTATAAAGGGATTTTTCACTGTGTGGTGAAAACATACTCTCATGAAGGGGTAGGTGTCTTAAACTGCACAAATACAGCCAGTCTCACTTAGAAAACACATCACAGAACGTTTTAAAGCATGCATATTTATCTCTTTATTATATCAGCTCCATGGATTCTATAAGGGCATGGCATTTCCAGTGATGACCACGGGCATCGTCAACTCTTTTGTCTTTGGCTCTTACAGTAATGCCTTAGATTACCTCACTCAGTCTCAGCGCAGTGACCGCAGTCAAGGCAAACCGGCCTCTGCTGCTCAGGTCTTCGCTGCCGGCTGCTTCTCAGGCCTGGTGCAGGTAAGAACATGTACATGCCACTGACTGGCTTTATCCAAAGCACTTTGCAGGACCATAGGTGTAGATATTAGAACAACAAGTGCTATAAGACCACTACTCACCATTTGATGTAGCATGTGTGTTCCCCACCTACCTTGAGGCAGGTGAAGGTTGTTGGGTAAAAATAAGACTTAAAGTGTAAAGTGCTACTGGCCCCTAGAGGTTGCAATGTTCATTACATCCGTTACATCCTACAAAACAAAAGTCTTGATCAGAATGGTTTAAGAATGTGTTTGACCTGAGTCGGGCACCAGAGGAGAGGCCAAGGCTTCATGAAAATCAAAAGTGTAACAGTCAACCATGTACATTTTAATGTTTCTTGTGTGAATCTTTAGAATTTGCTCTGAGAGAACCATGAACACCATACTTTCAGAGCAACTTATGAGAAATCTGTTGTGTTGGTCAAGAGTGAATCAGTGGCGTCACTGAAATCATTAGGAATTATCCTCTGTGGATCATAAATACCTGGTCATATTTCATGACAATCAGCACTCACACAGTATTTTATCTGACCACCAGGAGGCCTCCAAGAGGTTCCCAAACAAGACTATCTTCCCATTCCTATTCCCAAAATGCTTAGAGTAAATTTGACTAAGGATTAGAGAGAGCTCTTGAATCAAGAGAAAGGCAGCACCTGAACCTTTTACTGTAGATGTTGTGTTTCATAAATGAGATTTACTTACTATGTGAGCAGGGATTTAACAGAGGTCTGCTCTACGTCGGTGAATTCCTCTTAAAAAACAAAAGCAGAAGGAACAAATACTGTTTCCATAAAATAAGTACACAGTAACTATAATTTAAAGAGATTTTTAATGAAGCCATAACATGGCTGAATGGTGAAATGAGCCAGAGTCTGCAGGGACAGACGCACCAAGTGACAACAAACAACAGCCTCAGCCACCAGAGGATACAAGAGTCAGGAGTTCTGTCACGTAATGCATATTGTAGCTTCCAGTGGGGATGAAACTTGATATTTATTCTGGTCAACAAACACTTTTGATGGTGTAATTATATGGTAAATCTGTGTTACACCAACCATGTCAAGCCAGTTTTACTGCTAGTTGAGGAAAATCTAATGAAGTTGGCTGATGGAGGGAGAGCATGTATGGTTTTATTGTACCTGCAGATGATTGATGAGCTCCACTGTCATCAAAACACTTCAGAAATTCAGTGCAATTGTGTGGCTCGTGGTGTGTATTTCATAGCTTTCAGACAACAATGGAGCTCTATGGCACAGAGGAGTAAGATATATCAGGCTAAACAGGCAGTGCATTTTAGTTTTAGTCCTTGTTTGTAGTCTTTTAATGGGAATTGTTGACAAAAAAAAGAGAGAATATGACCAGACTTATCCTTTTAATATGGTAAATTCTTTAAGGCTTTATGTCATATGTTTTATGTCTTTAACTTGATCTGCTTTCAGGTGTTTATTTGTGCACCCATCGACCTGGTGAAGGTGCGACTGCAGGGTCAAGCAACTGCCAAGCGATACCGAGGACCGATTCATTGTGTTGCTGTAATCCTGAAGGAGGAGGGGCCCAGGGGTCTGTTCAGAGGAGGGCTGGCCCTCGCCCTGAGGGACGTACCCTGCTATGGACTCTACTTCTTGCCTTACGAGGTCACTCGAAAGGCTTTGACCGAGACTGGCAAAGAGCCAGGTCAGTTTCAGAGTCAACAGTGCAGCAGTACTGACTCTCAGTAAATATGTAACCAGGGTGGGAAATATGGACGGTCATTATAAAGAGATTATAAATACATTTCTTTTTAAATCATGGTAAATCAAGACAATGCTAGTCTTACCTTTCTGTGTCAAAAGTCTGAGATATTATGAGACTCTTATGAGATACTGTGTCAAAATTTTGACTTGAATGTACTACAAGGAGTTTGTAACTGGTTATCAACAATGTAATACTAATGCCTCTGTATGACCTACATAAACAAACAGTTCATATGAAAGATACCAAACAAAAATCTCAATACTCACATGACTTCAAACATTTACACTATGAACTAAACTTCTCTGTCCTCAGGTACGTTTGCAATATTGATGGCCGGTGGATTAGCGGGCGTGGTGACCTGGGCCTTCGCCACGCCCATGGACGTGGTGAAAGCTCGTCTGCAGATGTCGGGGGCCGGCGGCCGGGAGTACAGCGGGGTACTCCACTGCATGAGAGTGAGCGTCAGAGAGGAGGGAGTGAGGGTCTTTTTCAAAGGCCTCCTACTGAACAGCCTGAGGGCCTTCCCTGTCAACGCCGTCACCTTCCTCAGCTACGAGAGTCTGATGAGGGCTTTCTATCCACCAGTGAGATGACCTCCTCTCTCTCGACAGTGCGCATTGCACTCCTTGCCTCGCACATTTACAGTTCTTCCTGTGGTGCAGAGATTTTACTATACACACACACACAACTTGACTGTAGGTCAGATATTCTCAGGGTTGTTTAACATTATCAGTTGAAACAGACTGTTTGTTTTAACACGATGAGCCTGAGTTTTAAACCTTTTAAAGTCTATGTGGAATAGGTCAACTCTCATCCAGCCAGTGTCAGAAACCTTAACACACTTCAACTGATGATACATTTTTGATTAATTAGTCTCCTGTGACTTGAACCACTTTTGATGGAAGACATCAGGATTAAGCTGCTCATTTTTACTGGAAATCAAATCCAGTAAACACAAAATGTGAATGTAAACATTGTAACTTTGTTGCATGTGGACACATATTTTACTATAGTTTTTTTTATTTCAAAGCATTTTATTCTTGTCAACTGGACACAGAAAGTGAAAATGATTTCCTAATAAATATACAATACAAAGAATCTAGTTGATTTCATTATTGGTGACTGGTCCATCGAGTCCATCGAAAAGACTCAGTTAATTAAACAGTATTTTAATATGCTGCTACTTTCATCTAATCTGTACAAACTGGCACCTTTGGCATGTCTACCCATCCTGGAAATGAGATCCTACATGTGTTGCTCTGACGGCAAAGCTGTCTTAGTCTGCTTTTCTCTGACAGCGGATCTCTCTCTCTCTCTCTCTCTCTCTCTCTCTCTCTCTCTCTCTCTCTCTCTCTCTCTCTCTCTCTCTCTCTCTCTCTCTCTCTCTCTCTCTCTCTCTCTCTCTCTCTCTCTCTCTCTCGTTTTGGTTTTTGCAGCCTGTTTGGATTCACTCACTACTCTCATCAGCATTGTTTCTAAAAACATTCACTGTAGAACGAGTAGGGTATTTCCAAAAACTAAATATAATTATGCTAGTGTGTTTGTAAATAAGCAAAACAGCATGAGATCACTGTCCACCCAAAATACAAAGTACACTCAATGTACTGAAGAGAAAGTACTTTTATTCTCTGCACAATGTCTATCAAATATCATTACATCCTCACTTAAAGAGTCACATGAGTGAATATGTGTACACCTTTTATTTGCACATTCCCAAATATACAGTTCATTACTGCCTGCCACTTCTGCATGTTTGAACCCCTGAAGCAGCATTCCAAAGATTTACTATGGAAGATTACAGATATATTTGTAGGGTATTGGTATTAAATTTCAGCCTGCACCTATTTTTTAAAAGCACTTAACTGAGACAGAAATTCTCAAACAATAACCATATAGAATGAACATGTAAAAAACAACTCAGATTCGTACGTGTGGGGATAACGCAAGAAAAGACAGACTGCTTCTCAAGGCACACGCAAAAGTGGAGCATAACTACAATGCTTACAAACCACCGAACCACTTAACTGTCGGACTGATAATGATTAACACAGATTAGTCCTATCAGACACCTGATGGACTTTGTAAGTCACTGACCTCAGAAAAATTGGGAAAGAAGCCTGGACTAGACTGGAGACAGTATGACTGAAGCAGTATGGTGAGAACTGGCACCACCCAGATGTTTATGGCAAGATGGCGACGTGGCACTAATTTATTTCTATAACAGAAACTTCACAGACACCGTAAGGAGCTGAAAGAACAATGAGGATGTGAATTTCCATCTGTTGTTGCAGCTCTCATCATGAACTTCACTAACAGTTGATGTATGTTTAAAAGGCCCACGGAGATGCCATTTTGACCGGCGGTTTGGTTGAAAGGAAAACTTTCATTACAAGTTGGGTTTTATTGGGGCGGCAGTAGCTCAGTGTGTAGGGACTTTGCTTAGGAACCGGAGAGTTGCCGGTTCAAGTCCCACAGACCACAGTATGGGGTGTGGACTGGTAGCTGGAGAGGTACCAGTTTCACGCGCTACGGTCCCATTCCTGTTCAGGGTTGCCAGGGCTGCTATCCCAGCATGCAGTAAGTTTACAAAGGAAAAACAAAGAGAAGATACACAGGTACATAAAACCCTTTCGTACGCCTGCAACATTTAACGGTAGACACAAGCATTCCTAGAATGCAGTATGTGGCTTTCAAATGTCCAACACATTGTTTACAAATGTGTCAAACAGCTGGTCTACGCTTTGGCTGGATGAGCCAGGCACTGGTGCCCAATTCACATCTTAAATTCAGATGCAATCAAGATCAATTTTACATTGTATGATACAGTGTAGGTTACACCGTCACAAAAATTCAATCATACATACAGCTTAAATGCTTTACAGATATTCACAATAGCATACATTCAGCAGCTGCTGTACCACAGATGAGATAAACCAGCACACTCTGAAATGCAAATGTAAGACAAAAAGCTTACAGAAGAGACTTCCTTCAAAAAGCTGAAGGACACCCTGAGCTTCTCCTTTTACGACCGATATTATACAAAGCAAAAGATCAAGGATGATTGAAGTGTAAGTATGTTATGGACAAAGAAATACTGTATATACTGTTCCACAGGACTAGTGATGGCTTAGTCATACGGACACTGACCATACCAAGCCAGTCACCAGAGTTTACTTTGAGTTTTAAGACACGACAGTGAAACAAATTGGAACCTGGAAGAAAACGCGAGTGGGTCCCATTTAACTGGAATGTGTGTGTGTGTGTGTGTGGTGAAGAACAGACAAATATCTAGTCATCCCACCTTCACAGCCACAGATAAGCATATTTGTTAATACCATGATCTCGTTTCAGGCAGCATTTTATGTCCCTCAGTGAGACTGAGGGGCTTGGAAGTCCTGGTCCTGAAGTAGTGGTTTGTGGTTCTGCTCAGCAACCATGGCATGTAAGGTGTCCCTCTGAAACTGCCGGGCCTTGTTGTACAAGAGGACCCCAATGAACACGAGGAAGGTGCCTGCGGCGCTTAGGATGGTGATCTGGTTACTGAACACGATGATGCTCAGCCAAACCGACAGGGCGTGTTTCACAGTGCTGGCAACACTAAGGAAGAGAGGAGGGTTGTTACCGTTATACAAATAAAAATGATAACGTTACAACCTATGGCCTGAATGAGAACTGTATCTATTAATGATTAATTATTAACATGGGTAAGACTCCCATTATAAACAGGTTACTCTAACAGCTTTCATATACCGTAGCAACAGTAGCAAGAGTCCATATTATGGGTACCTTCTGAAGTCACTTTACTAACATACATATATTACTGTTTTCTCTTCTATTTGGGGCATAATCATGCTCTAAGTATTGGAGCTACAGTTCCCATAATCTGGGGGCTTTAGGGGATGTAAACAGGAAGTTTCCATAGCAAACTGGCACCATTAAAGTAAAGCCGAATTAGCTATTAGCTGTTATGTTCTGGAGTTATAAGGAGGTGTATAAGGAGCATTTTCTCTTATTTCAAATCAGACTTATGGACGTTTATTCTTGGAGTTATTACTCAAAAAAGGAGTAAGATTTTTGGTATACACTATGCTTCACTCACACACACACACACACACACACACACACACACACACACACACACACCGCCAGGTGTGGGAAGGTACACATTTGAAAACCTCTGCATTATTATGAGCAAACTCTAAATGACTCTGAACCAGCAGCAAATTTCAGTTTAGTCCAAATGCCTGAATATCCTCCCAGATAGAGCGCCGCACCAATTTAGCATTGCACTCCTATAACACTGTAGGATTAACAATGGACAGTTTTCTTTTTTTCAAAGCAGCAGGACCAGAGGTCTCCTATTACATGTGTTTTCCTTGCTTGTCACAGCTTGTCGCTTACATTTCACAACAAGACAGTTAGGTGTGTTATACTGGTAGGGGTTAATGTAGCGTCAAGCTATGTGCCTCAAGCAGATTTGAGAAGCAGGCTGCAGCCAGTCTCACTTATCTTTAACTTCCCAATTTCTTTCATTTTCAGAAATGTCCTCTGGAGCCACGTATGTCTATTTGTGTAACCTTTTGAATATGCACTAGTACTCCCTAAGACCTATAAACGGACACTGATGTGTTAAGTTGTTGCAGTTCTCTTTAAGATAGCAGAAGCAGGGGCCATCTTCCAGCGTGTTGATGCCCTATACCAAGAGCTCTGCTGTACTGGAGATAAAAGGGATTACATGCCATGTGAGAGCCATGTTATAAATGGGTTTTGTGTCTGTCTCCCCCACCTGAAGGTAACAGGCGAAATCCGTCCCATGAGAGCATAGGCAGTGACACTCTGCAGGTGGAACAGGCCGCCGTCAAAAAGCAGCAACAGGATAATGTCTTGACTGACGACGAAGCTCCGCCCACTCTTCCCAATGACTGGGATGTCCTGGAAACGGAGCACGACAACCATCAGCATCGACAACCAGTTAATTAACTGTTGACAAATCTGTTTTACTGATTCTTCTGTAAACGGTACTACTGGATTGTCTAACATCTGATGTCATACGGCTTCTTATTTAAGAAAATGACTTACTACAGACTTAAAGTACAACTTGCCTTACTGTTACAATAATGCAATACTATAATAATTGTAGCAATTGTGTGTTGACCTACCAAGAGGAACACCCAGGCAGGGATAAGCATGATGACTGCTGCTGCACTAGTATAAAACTGCAGCTCTGGAGGGCTGAAATAGGTCAACAGAGTTTTTATAATAAGTGTTTGATTGCTTTAAATGATGTAATATGTATAGGAGGGTAAACACAGTCTTACCTGAACCTGTATGTGTCTCCACTTAGCAGTTTTTTGGAAAACACGTTCTGCAAACTGAGATCAGAGACAAAGGGGTTAAACAAAGCATCACACTGCTGTGGGGGGATAGCTGCGTTGAGAGCTGCAGTACCAGTCCATGATGTTGGTGGAGAGAGCGGCGGAGAAGCCGAGCATGTTGAAGCTAATCTCCGTGGCTGTGCAGAGGGCCAGGCCAGCCATGACAGGAAACAGGGACAGGTTCACCCACAGCCCTGCAGGTAGCAGAACAAATAGTGTACACAATGAAATGAGTCACACCACTAACTCATAAACACAATAGCCATGACCTGATGACATGGCCCATGCTCCTACTAGTACGACCACATTCCTTACTTCAATTGTTGTTGACTGATGGGGAGTAAAATAGAAGACATTTGCAATGGTGACTGAAAAAAAACCCCAAAAGATTTCCCTTTTACTCCGCATGAAGTAAATGGAGTAGAGAAAGGTTTTAGAGAGGTGTCAATGTCACTTTGGATACATGCAGTGTCCCTTTAGTGTTATATCTGGTATCCTGACATTTTATACCCTGAACCCTCACATAGACATCCATCAGTGTGTCCGTTACCTGTATACTCTCCCAGGATCAGTCTGGACATGATAACAGTGAAGATGGGTGCTGAGCTCTTCACTGTCTCAGCAAAAGATACCGCCACATTCTTCAGGCTCACCAAGCCCAGAACCACCGTGGTGAACCTAACAAAGGGAGCCATGCAAGGGATCAAGATTGGGCTTGCATTTGTAAATCCATTATTAAGACTGTACTATTTTATTGGAAGCTAAAATATTTGTTAGAAATCATGCAGTGTAGAGAGAGAGGACCCACCTCATGAGTCCAACAAACAGCATGATCATGATGAAGTTGGGGGGGTACTCAGTTCTGGACTTGTGCTGGTACAGGCAGCAGGGAACATACATCTTAAGGCAGCCTATGACGGTGGTGGAGAGCATCTGAATAGCACCTGCAGAGCATGGAAATGAGTCAGCAAGACAACAAAAGCTCCAGCCACAAAGTTAGGAAATCCAATGTAGTGAACAATTTGACATATTTAAATGTAATAAAGAATTGTAGAAGAAAAACAATAAGCCAACATGGTGTCATTGTGGAAAAGGTCAGAGTATTTTCAAAAACTTTCCCATATAGTGTAACTTGTAACGCCTCTCAAACATGTTTCATGTTTCTGTAACATGACCTCTCCCAAAACAAGCCGTTTTACATGCCTGGAGGGTAGGAAGCAAACCTTAGACTCATGGTACGCTTTAGAAATACTCAGTAACAATTGAAATGCAACATGTAGTTACAGAGCTACAACCTACAAAACCACCAGTATGGTCCTATAAGATTTTACCAAAAACATACAAAGCAATAACGTACAAGTCCCATGCCCTATTCAGTCTAGTTCATAACATTAATATTAGTAGTAGCAGATGTATATTATTCCTTCTCTTTACCCAGCATGCTAGGCTCCCCCTCCAGCAGCGACAGGATGTACTTGTTGAGGAACAGGGTGCAAAAGCTGAAGAAGTACCAGAGGCCCAGGTAGGTCATGGAGCGCCAGTTCCACACCCCTGACTCGGCCTCGATCACCGTGGTCTCTGTGACTGTGATCTTCAGCACCTGCTCCCCAGGCAGGCTCTCGCTGCGGGCCAGAACCACTTGCTCCTGGCGGGTGCTGAATGGTGACAGGAGGCGCCACAATGGGTGCCTGGCAGTCTGCCTGCTGCCTGGCATCACGCCTGCCGCCTGAGGGCCCCCAGGGGCCCAACAGGTGGGTGATAAGAGGGAGGTGAGGGGAACGAGGAGAGTTTTCAACGTCAGTCCATCTTCTGATTGGTCCAGCAATTGATCAGTCTCTCAGTCTTACAGTAAATGCTGGGGATGCGTTCAGGTCCTGATGTCCACTGTCCTGGAGAACAGTCAGGTGAGAGACACAAAGTGAACAGTTAGGGCGAGCGTTACAGGTTCATCACATGCTGGAAATTCACAGTTTGGTATCACACATGTAGTAATTGTTCCTCCACTTGTTACATAAAATAACAATCACATAATGCTTATTTAATATCCATTAATATTTCTTCACATGCAAACTCTTTTTACTTCTATTCACTACTACAATTGGACATAAACACAGCCACAACAGATGACAGGGAGCAGTGGTTTTAGCCAAAACATGCATATTGTCTAAATAATACTGAACCACACAAAGCAAACCTCAATGCAAATCTGTGCTGCCTGGGTTTGTTAACACTGCCGACACAGAGAGCGGTTCAGTATTACAGAAACGCCCTGAGCTTTGTTCTCAAGGGTCAACGATAAGCAAACAATGTAATGTGAACGTTAGCTTTAATCACACTGACAACATTTGAAGTTTGCAGCTAGCTGCTTCTGGCAGGAACACAAGGTGTCAGAGTTACACGCAGACTCAAAATGTAAAGAAGAGGAGCTCTTACCTCTCTTTGAATCTTGGAAACCTCAATTATTAAGACGGAAAAACACCGTAAACCCAGCCGGTCAACGAGACAGCAGCGTTATAAGAAGAGGAAGTTGCACACTGACGTTAGCTAGCCGCAGCGGTAACATGGGATGTGAAGGAGTGGAAGCTAACGTTAGAGAGCCAGGCGTGTTACCAGCCATACTGCCCGGCCTGTGGGTGTGATCAACAACACCACACCCACTGCACACTAACATGTACCTATCTGTCTGGGTTACTCATATCTGTGCACCTGACTTTGAGACGTGGCTGCTAACAACAGTCACTTCGCAGTGTGAAGCTAACCCTAACACTAACCCGCAACAACAACCCAATACGAGTACAACCCTTCAAAGTAAAAGTGAAATAATATTCACGTACTAACCCCGAGCTAATAGTCAGCTAAAGTTCACATTTGTTTTGTCGTAATGATTGCTCTGAACATTTTTCAGATATGCATTTTTAACTGTGAGGTAAACTTGATACTAAATGATTCACTTTCGCCTGAATAAAAAAAAAAAAACGTGCTTTTATTTTACATATTAAAATCTCTGCGTTTCCGGTAAGACTCGTTTCAACTTGACGGAGCTGCCACGAAACAATACAGTGCTTCAAAATGAAATCAGTGTCATAAAAAAAAACTTTGGGTCAGTTCGGTGGTCGTAATTTTACAATTGCTCATTTAGATTTGATTTGAAAAGACATTTCTAAAAACTCATATCATCATTAATAATATTGTAAAGTCTGTGTGTGTGTATGTGTGTTGTCGTTCAGTATTGCTCCAAACACATCCTCTGTCATTACCTTATATATACTGTCAGTGGTCATTACTGTCAGGCAACCACAATAATATTCACAAAGAGGCATCTATTGCAGATCTGTGTATAAGAATATGTGGCAGGAGTTAATGATAACTGACTGTATATTATGAAACTGACTTTAACATGAGTACAAGATCAGCATATATGTATGTTGGCTTCTTACCCTCAGTGAAGAATGTGCAGTTGTAAATGTGGAAAATGGGTTAATGTCCTCAACTAACAGATTTATTTTGTTGTTTAGATTATTTGACCATTTAACACAGGTATAAACAACTTTAATGGCCACTAGACCAGACAATTGTATTTACATTGTTAAGCCCGCAATTTAAAAACATTTGTTAGTATTTCTATTTTCAATTTGGAGTAATTACATTGATATACATTTGTACCTGCACTTCTTATTTCTTACTTTCTATTTTTCTTACAATGGCTCTTTCTGTTCTAGACTGGGAGCATCTGTAACGTAACCCAATTTCCCCCTGGAGATAAATGAAGTATTTCTGATAAAGATAACATTCATATGACAGTTTTACATTGCCAGCTCACATTGTGCAAGAACACTGACAACATCGGTCTGCCAACAGCAACAGTTTGTCACTCATTATATAATGACCACAACAACCACTAACCACAGATCACTGTCACTATTGTCTTTGTAAAAGTTTATTTTACTTATTCACTGTAAAGGGGGTTTTACAGTGAGTCAGGATTGCTCTTTCATAAAATCAAATAAGTACATGATTCTAACATATCCAACAATGTGTTAGTTGTAGTTCATGACTGTGGCCACTGGATGGCAGTAAACACCATTGACTGTATATATAAACCCTGTAAACACTCACGATCCTAAATACATTCAGCAGCCACAGTCACAAACACACCAACACAAAAAACAACAACAACAATCAAACCAATCGTTAAAAGTGACTGATTATGCTCATTTAAACACAAAAATCAATATTATAATCGTTATAATGACACTTAATTGACAAATCTCCGAGTAACGGAACTGGAAGCTCTCTGTGGTCCTCCAGGGGGCAGCAGCACGTTGGTGGAGCCAAGAGGAAGACCAACAAAGCAGCAGCAGAAGAAGAAGGAGTTGTCCGCTGGCCCTTCCGGTGTGTTAACGTGAAACCGGAGCCCGTCTACGGAAAGCCTTATTAGACATTCTCTGGTGAAACCGACTGGAGTTTGTCAGCTGGAAGTCGCAGCGATGTAAACACCGGTCGGTCCTGCCCGCAAAGAAATGAACGAGTTAAGGTCGGTATAAAGACTGGAGGATGAGTTCTTACTGTGTTTGTCCTGTTCGCCTCATGAGGAAATAAACTGATATTAGCCTGCTCATGATCATTCATTAATAAGGTTATATTAAACAACAGGCTGTTTAAATGAAATATTAACTGTCACAGTGCGTTTATATCACAGTCTGTTTATAAAGTGTGTGTTTATAGTCTGTGCTTCACCTGTTGACTGTGTGCCATTAATGTTGGCTGTGGTTCGGATACAGTGTGTGCTTTTTATGGATCTGTTGATTCATTTCTGTGCACATTTAATAGATTTATAAGCATCCATTATTATTACATACTTGTTCATTGTTATACTATATGTATTTGACCTTTTGATTCCTTCATGTGTTTCTTTTCTGTCATACTTTCACTTTGTTCCTACACATAAACCCATTGTTATTGTGAGTCGCTGCTGGTGGTAGATCCACTGACATAGAAGTCATTACTACTAATCATCCGGTGCGTGATATTTATTTTAATTTAAACCTGACTCTTCCCATCATCCCATGTTTCACAACTTCCAGCTCACCTTGCACCACAGTCAGTTGTGTCTAAGCAAGTCATGATGGGGAAGCTGACTCATATGTAGATTGTCTCTGTCCTTGTTTCACAACACTTCTCTTTATGTTTTAATCTGGAAAGCACTTGGTGTTTAAGCTTGAAAAGTGCTTTACAAGTAAAACTATTATTATTATTATTGTTATTATTACAAGCCCTCGGAGTTGTGGCCCCCTGCGCTCAGTGGGGCCCTCCTGTAGACAGTGGGTCAGTGAGCACTGTCGGTTTTTTTAGTGGAGCCTGAAATCTTTTGTGTACAGACACAACTGTTATTGACGTTTTGTGCGTTGTGTTGGTTTAAGTGTCTCATGCTCTCGTTTCATTTTCTTGTAGAACACTCACTCTAGAAACCTGAAAGCTTATTTATTTCCTTCGTAAGTCCATTGGGTTCCGTTTTAAGATGTCTTTAAACACTTGTGTGATAGCAGCGTTTATCCTGTGCTTGCAGTTGGTTGCTTTGCTCCTTTTATACAGTCTTATTTTATATTTTAACGTCTCTATTTACAGTGTGTCTGTTACTCAGAAGTCATTGTTGTATTTACATGAAATCACCCTTATTCTCAGTGTGCTTTGGTGCAGTATTCGGTCTGTATCTGTAATACGGGGCTGCAGAACATAATTTAGTGGCGAGAATGAATATTTTAAACTACTGTATCTCTCAGTCTCTGCAATGCTTTGAAGAAACTGCACCATGGTATCATTTATTAATTATTTCCTTTCACACTGCAGTCCTTTGTTGGGCAACCAGATTTCTGGGCAGCCACCGGAGGGCTCAGACCTTCTGTCTCCAAACTTGAGGCCCAGGCACCAGGAACTGATCCCAACACCATGTGGACCGGTGAGCTGCTGCAGGAGGAAAAAAACCCCTAAAACATAAGTAATTCTGAAAGTGGAAGTCAAGTTCAGTTTAATTTTGATGAACTGAAATTATGTGGATGTGATACAAATATCATCATCATAATCAGTATACTCATTTACTGCATTTATTACATACAAAATCCATTAACAGTCCCAGAAACCCCAGTCCCTCAGCCCTTCTGTGTTTATATTTTCATACTTGAACTGCTGTTTTTGGAAATAATTCTTAAACTTGTCTTTATTTATGTCCTGACAGAGCAGCTGTGTATAATCCGTCTCTCCTCTTGCAGATAAAGCGCTGGTCGGAGCTGTCATGTCCGCTCAAGCTCTACTTCTGCTTCACCATAGTGTCTCTGCTGGTGCTGCTCGGCCTCACCGCGTCCAGCATCCACAAGCAGCACATGGACACAGATGTGTCTGATGAGGACAACTTCACCGTATCTCTCATACAGCTGTTTGGAATATGTGAGTACCGTCACTGCATCAGCAGGAAGTTGATGGCACACCAAGCCCGGTTAACACCCAACTGCAAAAAGCAGAAGTTTGTCTTTCTTCTTATTTAAGCAACTTTATTTCAAGTTTTCCATCACAAGAATACATACATCTGAGAGTAACAACTTATTATATTAATAAAATTTCACAACCAACTTAAGAGAATATATGACAGTTAGAGCTCTTATAGTCATAATCGTTGTCAGAGTTACATGTTTTTTCCTCAATCCGTCATGAGAATACAGACTGTGTAACTAATGCATACACACAGATTTAGCTCTGCTGGTGAGTATGACAGATTTGTTGGTGCAGTTTAATTGGAAAGGTCGTCTTCTGTACCTGCAGCATCGTAAGGAATGTACAGTCAGATAATTGTAATGACTCCTGCACCGTTTGCTCTGCAGTGTTTGGCCTCTACTACATCAGCCGGGGCGTGTTGCAGGAGAACAGACAGGAGCTGGTGGCGTTTGTGCTCACCATGCTGGTGGTGATGGTTCGTTCAGTCGTCAACTTCTCCGTGCTGGGGTCAAAGGACAAGGAGGAGCTGCTGGTAGGTCGCCCTCTACTGGACAGCACACGGCACAAGGAGTGGTCCGTGGCAGATCCTTCGCCTAAAGCTTTAAGATTAACAATCATTCACAAATTTACAATAAAAAGCACAGCTTTGGAAGAGCTGACTCCAGCAGTTTCTGAATCTTGTATTCATTTGACTGATTTATTGATTTTATTTATGGATTTACAAAGCAACAAGAATCTAAAAGATAACACTTACTTCCAGCGTGGCCCCAGATTGTTAAAAACAAGACACATTGAAGTTAACATACGTTCAATCAGTATACACAATTTCCTAAGATTATAGTTGGTCTTCTTACTCTTAACTCTTTAAACTCTTTTTAAATATAAAAAAAATCAGTATGAAATAAAACATCATATTAATAAGCATCACTTTGTCCCAAAGATGAGCTCAGACCTGAGCTTTAACTGTCCGTCTGTATCTGGACAACTTGACATATAAAGGGAGGACAGTAGGAAATCTGTATGAATCAGGAGGTTGTTTAATGTTGCTTTTTCAGCAGCAGCTGTAGGAGAATATAAAAATAACTGCAAATGAAAACACATTTTAAAGGTCCAGTGTGTAGGATTTAGTAGCATCTAGCAGTGTAATGGTGTCTAATAATGACTCGCTACCGCTATTGAAGCTTTATTGCTGAGAAAACACATAATGATTGAGTGTGAGCGACTGATGAACATTTTGACCAACTCAGAGCTGTCTGATTTTAAAAAGTAAACCCAACTGAAACTGTTAAAAAAAGACAACATAATGAGAAGATCAGATTGTACGTTTTAGAAAGCAGCACACCAACCGCACTGACGCAGTGATTCAGACTAGCTGCTGGTTGCTGCTATTAATCCCTCTTTATTATCGACAGGGGAAATAAAAGTAGATAGCTTTCATCCTGTTCAAATGAGTGTAAGGTTCCACCACTGGATGTCACTATTGTTGTGTGTGTGAGTTACATCCAGTTGTGAACATGGATGTGAATATTGGAAAACAAAAAACCTGCAAGTTAATCTTTAGAACTCTGACTGGATAATGGCTGTTGCTAAATCATCTTACAGTTTGCCTTCATGTGGTGAAAGCTGATGGTAAACTGGTTTCAGTTACAGGAGGATTTTGGTTCCCACTGTTAGTTCTAGTTAGAACAATGTAAAGCCCTAATATGAGTAAATGTACAGCTGCTTCACTGCTTAGATTCTCCTGTTAGGGTTTCTGATCAGTGAATAATGTTACACAGACTTTATCATCCTACAGGAAAGAAATATTTTTTGTTGCATGGATTGCCACAAAATGTTGATATTCATGATCTCCCGATGACGACGATAAATTCTACTGATTTTGGTGACTTTTCCTAAAGCGCCACCCTCTGGTCAATTTCACTCTTGCACATATCTATGAGATGGATTGGTACAGCATTTTTGTACAAACATTCATGGTTCCCAGATGATGAATCCATATGACTTTACCATGTTACTTTTCTTCTAGCGCCACCATGAGGTTGCGTCGTTAACTGAAATGTCCCAACAGTTATTGAATGTGTGACATTTGGTGCACACATTTACGTCCCCCTCCATCTTAAAATATCACAATTTCTGAGTAAAACCACTCGTCAGGATCGTATAAGGATGTCGAAATACACATTGAAAACTGAATCAGCTGCTGTGATCTGTTTTTTGGTCGCAGGTTCGTTTCGTGTGCATCATGACTCTGGGCCTGTTCCACGTCATCTGCACCCTGCTGCTCATCCAGAGGCCCAACATGATGGCGTTCCGTGTTGGCGGGGCCTTGAACAGGCTCCAGGAGCAATACTTTCTGCTTAACCTTTGTTTCTCCATGGTGACCTTTGACTTTCAGGCTCAGGTACACGTGCATTCCTCCATACAAACATGTGACAGGATAATAACTGCTTAGTTTGTTTTGTCCCCTTAACAAGTGACATTTTTTACATTACTGAGGTGTTTTTTCCAACTAAGATACTAAGATAAGGTAATATTTGAGACCAAATGAGTTGTTCCTAACATTAAACTGTTCATATTAGACTTAGACTTAGACTTAGACTTAGACTTCTCTTTATTGATCCTTTTGGGATGACTCACGCAAGGAAATTGAATTTCCAGCAGCTTACAAAACAGTGTAGAAAAATAAAGAGGTATAAAAAAATTCAGTACAAGATAAACAATAAACTCTATGCTAGATATAGAAAGTAGACAATAAACAGTAAACAATAAACTCTTAGCAATATGTAGAAATAAGAATTGAAAAAAAAAATTAAATTAATTAAATAAGATAAATGTAGAGAACTGTATAGAGGATAAATATAGATAAATAAAGATAATTATATAGGACAGTATATGGCATTTTGTGGTTACACAGTGAATAAATGACATTAGCAGAAATTAGCAGTTAAATTAAATTAAATGATTGCACTTAAGTGGTGGATCAAGTTATTGCACAAAAAAACTAAAAGAAAATAAATAAATAAGTAAGAGGAGTGTCCAGGTATGTATGAGTAGATTATTATTATTGCACAGTGAGTGGCTACCACTCCTTTCCTTCTGTCCTCTTTACCCTATTTCCTCCTCCCCCCGAGTGAGGAGTTGTAAAGTATGATGGCATGAGGGACAAAGGAGTTCTTGAGCCTGTTGGTCCTACACTTGGGGAGGAGCAGCCTTTCACTGAACAGGCTCCTCTGGTTGCTGATGACGGTGTGCAGGGGGTGGCTGGCATTGTCAATAATGTCCAGCAGTTGGTCCAGTGGGTGTTTTAGCGAGGTAAATTCCTCCATCAGACAGACTTCAGGCTGTAAAATAAATCATCAGTCTGTGATTTGTAGCACCTTGCTTGTGATTGTTTGGATTTCCCTTTATGGTGACCCAGATTCCCCTCCTCCAGCCTCAATCAGAGATTTGCCATGTGCCCTAGGAAGACTTTGAACTGTCTCCAGAAAACATGCTTGGACTTGCTGCTGGATGTGATTTGATTTGTTGTCAACATATAAATAGTAATAACAGCGATGGCGATCAGCAAGAGAGCAAGTTTTTCTGGTTGAGTCACACGCTGTCTGCACGTTGCATTTTATGTTTGGGGGTTTTTTTCAGGTCAACTGGTGCTACTGTTGTTGGAGGACAACACGTTTCTCCTCAAGTGTTTGTTCAACATTTGCTGGGATACAAATCTACATCTCTTCCATCGAGCTACTGACTTTATTAATGATGTGCTGTTGTTGGTGTGTTTCAGTTGTGTCTGTGCATCCTGATCATGACGTCGGACTCGGCCATGCCTGCTGCTCCCGACCGCATTATCATGGGCGTCGGGGTGGCGTGGGCCTGCCTGACTGCCGCTGTCGGGGTTGTTGCTGTGAGTGCTCCTTATCCACAATGCTGCTCTTCACACAGAGCTCATAAACTAATGAGGAGAATATCACACAAGATGCAGTCGAAACAGTTCAGAGCATCTGTGGTAAAATTCAAAAGCGGGCAGTAGTTGTAATTACTTGTTGTTTTTCAGGTTTTAAAGGAAGCCAAGGTCTTAGTTTGGATCTTCATGGTGCAGAACCTTCCTCAAGTGGCCTTCTTTGTTTATCTGATGTACACGGTGAGCTGACAATGAGTTTCTATGCATATGAACACAAAATGCTTTATGAAGCATACAAACACTGATCAGTCTGTCGTCATTTACGCTGGAGTGGCTTTCCCAAAGAACATTGTAGTGTTGTAGTAATTTCAGGATGCTTCCCCTGAAACATATAAAGGGCCAGTGTGTATGATTCAGTATCATCTAGTGGCCGCAAAACTCGCAAAAAGCGCAATAATACCTAGAGCCAGTGTTTTGTTTGTCCAATCTGGGCTACTGTAGAAATGTGGTGGGCTCCATAAAAGAGGAAGTAGAAATCATTCTAAACTAACAAAAACACAACCACTCTTATTTCAGGTGATACACTAATGAAAACACACCTATGAATACTATGTTGCATTTCTGTCAATAGATCCTCCTAAATGTCACACACTGGACCTTGAAATTAGTTCCTGCTGTAAATCTTCTTCACAAACACGTAACATAGAATTTTAAAAACGTCTCAGTAATTTCCTTAAACAGCTGGGCAATGTAGTTTTTAGCAAACGTCAAAGTCAAAGTAGTAGATAAAGGTTTCCCCAAGGGGACAAGGAAGTTGATCATTGGCTTCAGGTATTACAAGCTTAGTGTAATCAGCAAAGTAATTTATTTAACAGTAACAGAGGTCAAATAAATGTACTGGAGTAAGAAGTATAATATTGTCCTCTGAAACATAGCGGAGCAGAAATAAAAAAAATTTATAAAATAGCAGTAATACAAGTAAAGTACCTCAAAATTGTACTTGTAAATTGTACTAAATGTAGTTTTCATCATTTTAAATACTTTGTGCACATTAGTTTGATGATTTGTACATTCAGAGGTCTATTCCTGCAGGAACCCTTCTGGTTTTCTTTAATTACAGGTGATAATGAAATGGTTTGAGGACAGCACGTACACCCTGGAGGCAGCCGCTGTCACTGGAGCTTTGATTTCACTGTTGATTAAAGCAGTTTTATTCTGGGGCCTCATCAAACTTATGCACACCTTCGGCCAAGGCCTTAGGGAGAGGAGTGAGTATGCCGCTTTTTTTTGTCTTGGCTTCAGTCCTTCAAATGTTGAGCTGAAGACAAAACAGACCCTCCTTTAGGGGAATGTTGACTAATCAGTATCTCCTGGCAGATTTCTAAATATTTTAGTATTTCTTTCCTCGTTATGTTGTCTTGATCACGTCCCTGATTCTGAGAAACCTGAGTTTTCCTGACTGACCTGACCTTAAGCCTGTTTATGTTGGCTACAAAGCGGCAGAGTACAAAAATGTAGGCGTTAACTTTACTCTTCTTTTTGCAGTGTTTGCACCCAGCAAGTGATAAAACATCCAGTGGTTGTGGACCAAGGACACAGCTGCATGCTGAGGGGAAGCTTTAGCACCGTGGTGCTGACCATGGAGCTCATTTTTTCATTCCACATTAACTCCACCAAACATATCTGTCATATTGAGGTCTTTCCAGCCTAATGTACTCTTTACTGTATATATTTTATTTAACTTAAATACAGGATGTATAGCAACACATATCCGCTGCCTTGAAACATGCCTTTTCTATGAACAATAAATGCCTTTGTAGATTGGATTCATAGTATTTTTTACTGTTATATGCACTGTAATAGCTGAACCCATTGGTGTTTGAAAGCACCAAAGATTTTAAGTGGCCGACAATTTGAAAAGGAGCTTTTATCTTAAAAGCTCTCTTTCTTTCCTTCCTGTGAATAACTCTTAAGGTTGACTAACTTTGACTTTACTTTACTCGTCACTAGACAACTTTGGGCATCACTGGGATATATTTTTTTAACTTAAGCTCCTGCTGCACCTTAATACACTCGATTGCACAAGTGTTTCTTTTTCATTCAAGGTTCTTAATAAAATATGAAACCAAGACTGATGTTTTGATTTATTGCTCAGTAAAAAGAATGAAAATGAAGTTATTTGGCTATAACTTGAGTTCTATGACAGGCTATGCACACTTCTGGTAACTTTTCTATTTTTAAACTTTTTCCACAACTTGGTGGATACTGCTAACGGACTACATGTCTTGCACCACTTTCCCATGACTTATAACATAAACCCCATAACTGAATTCAGGTGTCAAACAGGAGGACACACACTTTCTGGTTACAGTTTTTTTCTCTTTTATTAAAGTGCTCTGGAAAAAGAAAAATAGCATGATTCATATAAGAAACATTAACAAACTTACCAATACAAAAGTCAGAGTTAGAGGCTCTCAGGGTTACAAAAGTGAAAAGCACTTTAAGAGAAGAGTTGACAATGCTTCATAGAAAGTCAGAGCTATCTGTAGAGCTGGGCTTTACTGGGACTCCACAGTTCAGTCTAATATTTGAAACAAACTATACTGGCTGCCAGTATCTGCTTTGACACATGGATTATACAACTTCATCTGAAAATTAAGACTATTCAAGTTGTCCTGGAATGCATTCTGAATAAGCTTTGGTTCTATGTGGATGTACTTTACTGCACTTTGACCAATTACAGAGAAAAATTGAGTTAGAGAATCAAAACTGCTAGAACAGAAATAATTAACAACTGAAGAACTTGGTAATGTAAAAAAAGTACCAAATAGATTTATTTTCAGCAATGATACATTGTAAACTGGTTAATAAACATATAGACTTTACAAAATACATCCTATTCAAGCATCACATATATATACACTTAAAGTTAAAGGAATGATTGCCTTTTAGAGCTGGTCCACTTGAGTTAAAACAGGTGACATCACTTTTCATCTTTTCACCCCGACACAATTTGTTGAGCCAACTCACAACGTCTAGATATTATATGTGAACAGATATGCAAGATAGGCCACATTAAAGTATTCAGCAAAGACTGCGCAGTGACAGACTTGGAGCGAACTGATAAGAATGAATGCAACAACATACACACAGAGACCATTAAATCACACACAGCCCACACACACACACACACACACACACACACACACACACACACACACACACACACACACACACACACACACACACACACACACACACACACACACACACACACACACACACACACACACACACACACACACACACACCGGTCTATAAAACCTACACAGAGTTCAGTTATGGCTTAGAGGACATTTTAAAATGTTAAAAAATATGCGTAAGACATCTGAACTGTGGTCTCTTTGTCTGGAATTAATATTACCTTGTTGCATTCTTGACACCTCATCCAACGACTACACACTATAGAGCATACTACATAATTCAGTTCGTCAATCAGGTGTCATGTGCTGCAGCCAGCAAAGACAACAGTCAACATGTGGTTACAATGAAAATGCACAAATCACAGATCTGTGTGTGATTCAAAAAATTTACCATGATGTAAACCTTGAAAAATAATAATAATTCTATACATTAATGATACCAGTGTTTAAGGCACAGTCTGTACAGTTGGGCCACTATTGCCAAGTAATGTACTGTAAATCTGCTCTTCCCCGGGGAGCACTTCATAAATTGTTCAAAACATTTTATCCATTGATGGAATTTGATTAACAGAATTCGGGAAAGTTTGATTCAACTGGATATTTAGGGAATTTTCCAGAGAATTGCAATGTGGCCTTTACCTCTACTGAGAGAACCAGCTTTTGTTGTATATTAAGTAGTAGATGTGTCCCTGCCATCCTTCCTAAAGATTAAAAAGTGCTTGAACAGACCTGATAACCCCCATCAAGAGTATTGCAGTAACTGCCATCCACAACTGACCTTGTGCATTTTAGTCCAAGATCCTTGCATTTCCTTCAAAAGTAAAAAATACCTCTTCTACAAAACTGCATTTGGACTTTAAAAGGCCAGTTTTCACAGCATACAAAGAAAACACAGGGACATTCCTGGAACAATAGTGGGGCCAAACTCCATTCAAAAATCCACCATTTTAACGTGCTTACACATTAGAACATGACATGATATCCCCATTAATGCGGCATACTTCCAACATAAAAAGGTAAAACTTTACTAGGTGACTTGTGTAAACCCAATTCTCAGAGCAACATGAGTGAGTTTCATTAGGCTCATCGTTCAGATTCCGAGCCCAAAAGTTTCCAATAAATTGTGATATTTTTTTTATAATTAGAAATGTATTTTTCATAATTTTTCCCCCATTTTCTTTTATTTGTTTCATTTATTTTAAAATCTCACTTTTCAGGTCACCACTGTAACAACCCTACTGTCACCAAAACATGTTATATAATGATTTAAGGTTTAATCATCTAAGTATTCATATTCTTATTAATTTTAAAAAGCCATATTTATTTAATGCTATTTTTATTTCATTTTATCAAACTCTTTTGGGTCTCATAGTTCACCTCTTATTCCCACACATTGATTCCACCAAAATAAAACATGGAGACCACAGCAAAGGTGCTGTTTGGCCCAACGCTTGTTAATGTACCACATTATTCGATGGAAACATTTTAATACATATGAATGGCAACATTATCATGACAGATTTTTCTGAATAGAGTTTGGTGAGACCCCCCCCCCCATCCATAAAAGACAAAATGGCACAGAGCACGGTCAAGCTAAAAGCAAGACTTGGGAGTCCTAGAGACCTTGGAGAAGACCTCATAGATGGTGGAAACGGACTCAGAATTCCTCGTCCTCTGAGCTGAGGTAGTTCTGCTTCTTTCTCACGTTCCAGTGCAAACACTGGGCCAGGCTCTCGAACCAGTCGTTGACCGGGTCCCGGAAACAGATGGAAGGAACAGGGAAGCAGGAAGTGGTGATGGTAATACTGGAATAGGGATGGGGAAAAAAGAAATTAATCAGAAATGGTTTTTTGTTACAAAGGGCGATGGCCGAATGAGGAAAGAAAAGTCCAGGTATTTGCAATCACAGAAACAAAAGAGATGTTGACATAAGATTCCGTAACAGTACTTCCTTCTGAAGCAACACTGGGTATTTGTTTAGCACTCTTCAATAGCTCTAAAGGATTGGCAGCTCATTTCATGAACCAGGAAGGTGATTATCTCTGGGTGAGTTACATAAAGGAAGAAGCTGGATCTTCCATAGGGGACACTCCTGGCCACAAGCCCATTAAGCAGGTTGAAAAAGGTTACATAACAAAGCCAGTAAGTGTTGAGGCAGCTGCTGGAGGAGTTAAACTTATTATCCATTACCGAGTGTGTGGGCTTTGTTTTGCTCCATTTACTCAGCCTTGCTCGCTGTTTTATGTGGCTGAGGTGTGATGATCAGCTAGGTATGTGGACTAACCTGTCGCCATGGCAGATCTCTTGTCTCTTTCTTCCATCAAATGACACCCAGGCTGTGTTTCTGGCATCCCGGGACAGCATTATCTAAAAAAAGACAAGCAAAGAATGCAGAAAAGTCACACAAAGAACCAGTTGGTTTTCACAAATTTGCTCAACTGGAATGAGAACTTTTACTGTACCAGTCAGTTTAATTTACCTCTAACATAATGGTCTTTTTTTGAATAATTTGGGGTTTCAGCCTGCAACACTCACAGTCAGACTAATTAAAATCCTGCATGTAGGATTCTTCATCATAATGTAACTTAAGTGCTAGCTGTTGTAGTAGCACGCGCATGTGATAAATAGACTGAGGAGGAGGAAAACATGCTAAAGAGAAACAACAAAACGTGTTTGTGAAATCATATGCATCAGATTTAGCTAATGCTTTGACCTCTGATGTCAGTGCAAAAGCAAACTACCTCCATGAAAGACTCAAACAGTCAGAGTAAATACCTTCAGCTCAACCCCGGCCGGCACCACAATGGGTCGGAAGGAGAGCGAGTGTGGGCAGATGGGGGTGATCATGATGGCGGGAACGTTGGGATGGATCATAGAGGCTCCTGCTGCCACTGCATACGCTGTACTTCCTGTAGGTGTAGATACTATCACGCCTGAAGGGACACACACACACACACACACACACACACACACAAGAGTGAACTAAAGCCCCATGTCAGGCCCAGGACTCACATACTGTAACTCAATAGGTGACCTTTATCCTGAAAGCACATAAGGACTTCACAATAAAAGCATGCTCTTCACAAATGGGGGAGTATTTAGACTAGGGCTGAAACTAACAATGGCTTTCCCTATCATTTTAAAAGTTAAAATGTTATTTAGTGTAACATTACCTCCCTGGTGTTCAAATAATTGTTAAGCTGCATGAACCTCCCGTAGTTTCTCTGTGCCGGCCAGAGAAGCTCAAGCACATGACAAGAAGTTTGACTAGGAACTATTTTTATAAATTCAAATCTTTTATGTTCTGAAAACATTTTGCTATAATCTCTTTTACTACACCATACTTTGAGTGAATCCCACCTCACAATGGTAATGTCTAGAAACAAGGTGAATGTCAGCCAGAGGTGCAGAGATTAAACTTTGCCCCGTCCACAGTCCGTCTTGTTTGGGCTTGTATTAAATACCACTCAGCCCTGAAAGTGAAAACGCACGCTTGACAGCCTCTGATAAACATAAACCGCTGATCTGATTTATGTGTCAGCACTCTCTGACTCTGGACTTGTTAAATGGTGGGGTTACAGTGCAAACTGGCCTGAACCCGTTGTAAGTATTTACATTTTGCCAGACAGACGAGCATCAAGACACTCACCGTCTCCCTGCACTGTGGTAATGAGGTGTCCATCCAGGAAGAGGTCGACATTGGAGAGATAGGAGGAGGGTCCTCTGTCCACCACCACCTCATTCAGTACCTGAAACACACACAGGGAAGACGCATTCACATGTTAACTTGTGCAATCTAGACACAACTGCACACAGCTACAACTGGATACTGTTGGAATCATGTATAGAGGGAAATTAATAACCAGGTTTCTCATGTTCCATGTACATCCCAAATATTATCTAAACCAGGATCCAACGCAAAACTGGGATACTAATGCGTATGTAAACGCATCCACTAACAACTGGTCTACACTAGACAAGACAAAAACACCTTGCATCATAGAATTAGTGCCAGTAAAAATACTTGTCAGATACTATTAACCTCGTACCTGAAGCAATAATTACTCTGTTTTCTCATGTGGTTCTTTAATAACTGGTTCAGGCCCACAGGCATCAGCCGGACAGCTGCGTCATAATGACACCACATTGGTAGCCTGTTTTCACTTATTTACAGTGTGGACTGAGGCCGTAGTGGAACTGCATCTTGCTGTCGATTCATAAAAAACTGTAGCATTGTTTCTTTATAAAGATCCCCATTGGCGGCTACCATCTTTTTCATTTACATTTACAACTCTTTGTGTGTGTTTGCTTAAATCTTTTTTCTCATTGCAAAGAAATACCAAAGCACTGGTTTAAGGTGCAGCAGCTACCTGATACTGCATGGCTTTCCGGCTACTTTCGTTGTCCCCATTGGTCAAGATGATGCCCTTTTCATCCACTCTGGCCTTCTTCTCCCAGTTCTCTTTAAGCACCCGCACCCTCAAGCGACTTCGCAGGACAATGGCAGCATTACCTATTTAAATATATTAAGGTTCTTGTGTGAATGAAAACTGGAGCACAGCATATGCTTTACAAACAGAACAGGAGTGTTTATGATGTACAGAAACCACGGCTGACAGACAGGTTAGAGAGCTTTCAGTACCTTCAATAATTTGGGTGACCTGAGACTGGTATGTGTCAAATTTGAAAGGTGTCAAGAAGCCTAAGGAGCCCAGGTGGAAGGCCATAACTGGTGGAACGCTCTCCTACAAGTAAACAAAACGAAGAAAATGTTACGGCATTCTAGTAAATTTAAAACCCCACGAAGAATGTTTTTTTAAACACCTGGCTGAATACCTGGAAGAGCGAAGATGCATACAGCAGAGTCCCATCTCCACCAAGACAGATAATGAAGTCTACGCGATTGGAGATGTCATCAAGATCTGAAAAATATAAAGACAATAAACCTTTTAAATATCTTACATAAGATCATACATGATTTATTTTATATATATATATATACAGTGTCTATACAATCATAGCAAAGATGACTGGTTGGTTTTCATACCTTCTCTGAAAGTGCAGAATTTCTTAGTAATAGCCCCAAAGTTTTCATCGCCTGAAATGGCTGGGTCCTCAAGAACTTTCTTTTCCACATAAACAATCAAGTTTTTAACCTACAACAACAACAACAACAACAACACCACACACACAAAATTAGAAACAGCCACTGAAGAATATATAAAAGAAAGCACAACATTTATGCTAACAGGATTTGTTCACAGATGACATAATGCTTATAAAAGAGCAGCAAAGGTGTAGCCTGATGATGGCATCAAAGTAATAGTAACAAGATCACACAAGAATCCATCTTGGCCAGACCAATCAGTCTACTGACAGCTACAGGGGTGGGTGCTAGGTGTGACACAGCGAGAAGGCACTGTTCGTTAAACAACAATGGCGGCTCCCAGAGATGTAAGCATACATCAGTTATATCAGAACTGAAATGTGTGAGCACTGAAAGCTTTTCCCAATGGAAAATACGTTTTCAATCTTCTCCCCAACAGGCTTTGTTAATAGTTTGACTACATTATATGGTTTGTTGGATTGGTTGAAGTTTGACTGTAACAGACAGCGATAGACAGATGGTTCATCCAATCACCTGCCGACTATTGAAAGTGAAGTGAAAGGGTCTGCCCTTTTCCAAACAGATTCCAGTGACAGATTCCCAAATGGTTCTGTGTAACAAACCATCTAACGAGTCAGGTAAGGGTCATGGATTAGGGGTTAACCTAATCATATCTCAGGAGCAGGAATAGGCAAAGCAGAGTTTTATTATGAGTGAGTGTTTCTTTTATTTGACAGCAAGGACTTTGACTAAAAGAGGACAACACCAGCTTCCCACCAGGAAACACTTTTGAACAGTTATGTTTGTTGTTAAAGGCTAATCCCATCACAGTCTGTGGTCAACACTGAATGGTGTCAGTGATCACGTGGTCTTACCTCGGTGAGGAACATGCAGAGCTCTTTGAAAGGCTCAAGCAGACTGGCATCTCGTATCTTCTTGATGACAAGGACACTTTTTGGTGGCTTGTTCCACGTCAGTCTCTGGCTGGCGGGGTCCTGAATGTGCCTGAACACACAAAGAGAGCTTTCAGCTCAGGAGGGCAAAAAACAGACTCAACGGTCACTTGATAAGGATTCCCCCTTACATCAGCATAGATCTGAACCAGATGGCTGGCTGATGTAAGATCTGTTAACTATCTGATGCATCCTACTGTTCATCATAACCAGGACTGCTTAGTAGATATCCAATTAGAGGCCCTGGCTTAAGGTCTAGCTCTGTTGCCACATATTGCTGACCTCCATGGGTCGTCTGCAGGGCCCTCACCTTAACTCAACCCCTCAGTGACAGTGAGTCAGGGATATTATTAGCACAATGTAAAATGTTTAGAAAAAGAAAAGGCAAGATAAAAATGTTTTGAGAGAAAAAAAAGAGGGTTTGTGTTCTCGGATATGTTCTCACAGGAAAAAGAGGACATAATAATGACTAAGCTAACAGGGAGACATCAACATGAACTCCCCAGGCCTGAACAAATCCAAATCATATGGAAAATGAAGTGCAAATAGCCATGGTGTATTTAACAATACCGACTTCTGTTGAAGGTTCTCATTATTCGCACTCTGTCTCACATATTAGGCAGTTACTGATGGTACAATAGGCTGATTCTAGCTCTTATACAATATTTCATTTTTGTGATATGATTACAGCTTTGAAGCAACCATTTTCTAAACACAAGTTGCCAATACAAGCTTTGTATTGGCAAAACAGTGATGAATGATTAGCCTAGCTTTAGAGCAATAACTTGCACTCACTAATTTGCGTAAGAAAAGGAAAATGACAAGCAATTGCAAACATTTAGAGTTTTCAATTGAACACCTGCCCTCATTATATCATATATTCTGATGAAAACGGATTAGTTTCTCCATAGTTTAATAAAGGATTTATATATGTAGTGCCTCAGATTTCTTTAAGACTGCCACCAATATCATGGACTTCCATTAACAGTTAGCTGGACAGTCACTGTTTTTTTAAATCTCTAGTGCAAATATACTTTTGTCTTCGCAACTTAGGATTGCAACCATGTTATAAAACCTCCTAATGTCCCACATCAACACGTCTTTACTCCCTTTACTTAATTTCCTGCAGGCAGTGTTAAACCTACACAGGCTGCCCCCATACCCAAACACTCTGAATAGTGTATTTGACAAACATTTGCTGTGCTTTAAATAGAATGTAAATTAGCATCATTATCACACAGTGACATTTACGCCAATCACATGTGGAGAATGGTAGTTTCAAGCCTCGTTACGAGCAGCTGTAGCAAATCGGTGGATGTAACCGAGACTAAATGAGAGAATGACTAGATAATTCCTCATTCGCATCTGCAAATAGGAACTAACATCTTGACTCATTAGAAAACATAACCATAACATCCAACTTTAGTTCCACCCCACACATGTTCCCACTGGTCATACATGCCTTCTTGCAACACGTCTACACAGTTTGAGAACCGATGTGCTGTCAACACTGCATTCATGTCATGCTGATTTTACTGTAAATACTAGCTTCTAATGGTGCTTTACTGTACAAGTATCTTTTGTAGGCTCTGATAGCTCTACTCGCACTAACAGATTGCAGCAGTGTGTCAACATCGGCCGCACATGTGGCCCAATGTCTGCTACTGTTTTCAGTCCAAAATAAATATTGAAATTATTTGACACATTTGCACTAATACAAGTGACTCTGTTCTGTAATGCCACTACACACCCTGCAGGTTCTCTCACCACCTGAGGATCCTGACAGGAGAGCATATTACAATCAGCCTGCAGACTTCTGCTAACCCCTAAATGATACCGCACACAGTTTGTGACCAGTGACTCAAACACACAACCGACATACAAATAACTGACAAATAGCAGCATTATTAAACAATATCCTTGTCCCTTTTACTATGTCCACTCAAAAAGTATCAAAACACCAAACAATATAACGCAATTTAACAAAAACACCACAATCTAAAGCCTTAAAACTGCCACAGATTATTTACAAAGGCAGTAATTACTAGTGTAAGCCCGCACTGTGCAGTACACGTTATTATGTAAAAATGTACCACAGCCTGAATGACACAAACATGAACAAGAACAAATAGAAAACTGAAGCTGTGCAGGCGTTGTTTCGAATATAAATAATAAAAGGATACAAAGCAAAACTTCATTAGCATTTGAAGCGCAGGCGAGCTGTGATCTATTCATGGACAGTTTCTCCTCTGACCACCTGAAAGCATCCACACCCTGACCTTCCCCTTTCATTCAGCAACCCCACTCTCACAAACCACAGGGCCATACTGTTACAACAGCCAGCCTGTGATAACACGCAAACACTGCCACTTCTACCACTTGATATAATACGACTAGACCTTGATATCACGACTGAACTTTGATATCACATCCAGTCTCCAAAGTCCACACAGGTCTAACCTTAAGAAATATAAATTTTTCATTCAAAAAAAAAAAAAACTCCAAAAGCCAAAAATAATTCTCTACTTTGTCTAAACATAGTCTGAAGCATGACATCAGTTTAATATTACTATTAGCTCACTGCGGTGAAGCATATGGTTGGCAGTAATCCACACACTGCCTGGTGCTGCCAGTAAATATTTCACCCATCAAACATGTTCTCTCTGTCGAGAAAGAGACAGGGACGCTCCGCTCACCATTTCCACACTTTGTTCTCGTTGTGGTTCCCGGGAGTGTCCTGCAGTATGCATTGGTTGAACTTCATGGCTGTACTCATGTAACAAGGATGCTGCTTCAGGTTGACTCAGTTGGAGTACAGAGCTCAGTCCCAGTGGCCTGTGCCGACACAACAACTCATTCTGCCTCTAACAACTTCCTCGATGGCTGCACATTGCAGAGCAGCTGGAGCGGCGGGGTCAGTTCACTTCTTGTGGTCGAGCTGTGAGTCAGCCACCGGTTGTCTGAGAGGCTGAGAGTCTCTCCATGCGCTGTGGTGGGGCTCCAGGATCAGCAAACAACCCCTCAAGCTGGATTCACTGCAGCTATATTTGTCCCACTGAGGACTTAACAGTAAAACCTTCCTGGTGCATTCTGCCGCGGAATTAAAGCTCTCACTCATCTTAAAAGGTTGACTTCCTCTCAGCCCCCGCCCACACTGCTCTGCTGAACCCACCCATTCAGGGAAGGGCTTTCCTTATTGGACAGGTGTGATTTACTGAAACACAACAATGCCATGGCTTTCCACTGTCATTCTTCTTTATGTAAAGAATGAATAGATGATTGATACACACTGTATCAGAGAGAGTAATACTTTAGGGTTTACAAATCTCCCTATATAAAAAAGAAAGCTTGATATACCAGAGCAAATTCAAGTTAATCAAAATTTTACCTTTTATGAAAAAATAAACTGATCGTGTATTTTTTGTGTAAAACCAGAAAAGTGGCCTTTTAATTTTATGACCATTTTCAAGAAGAGACAATGTGGCCAGGTGACATGTAGGAAGGGGAAGTCCGGGGTGAGAATAGATTAACAGGGCTACGTGGGTAAATGATGTAATTATGTGTTATGGGAATGCAACAGGATGTACCCGAACTTCCTACTGCCTTATTACAGTCACCATGATAACTTCAACATAAGTGTTCATTAGAAAATGTTTCTGAGAATGAACTTGTCTTTGATGGTCTTTATCTAAAGCACTATGGACTTGCACAGAGTCAGGTACTGTAAAAGAGGAGCATGCAGTGTAACTTTCATCTGTCCTACACTGGACCAAAATACGCCATAAACAGTAAATAAAGGTCCAGGATTTAAACAAAGTTCAAAAGTTACATTTTTATCTCTTTCCAAATATTGTCACAGACTGCCTTGACAGCGGTTATTTACACAGGAAGGCAACATGTTCAGAAATTGAAAGGTATGATGTAATGTCAGCGTTCTGTGTACTTTCAGTGTTTCATATTGCTGTATGTTACCTCGACTTGACAGCAGTGTTTGTTTACGAAGCAGATCAAATAAAAGAGAGAAAATGTGGAGCACAGTTTATCCAAAAGGCGGGTTTCTAAAACAACTCCTTAGGGCACTTGTTGTGTTTCATTTCCGGGTGTGTTTGGGCGGTCTGGGACCATTGTATCGGGTGGAGATTACGAACCTTTATTTATGCTATAAAGATAGCCTGGTTTTGCCACTTTTAACCTGTCTAGCAGCTTTGGGGAAGCTAATCCTTCAATTACTGCTGCCTAAAACAAATAGTGCTGGGAGCCACTTATGTGACTGAGGGAGTCAAGAGGTCAACAATCTGACCAGGCCTTGACGGGAACACATGAAGAGTCTTTCACAACTCTGCTTAATGACTCATTAAGCAGATCTGTGCAGCAGTTTCGGCAGACAGACACATTGTTCGGTGGTGAGCTTCTGTTGATAATGTGCTGATATGATTCTGTAGTAATTGGTGTTGGCATATTGTCTTACATTATATACTGAAGCAAGAGATGTTATATTGATAGGTGCAGGTAATGTAGGTGTAGCATTACATCAGCAAGCTTACAAGTGTATTAAATGAACCAACATCTATCTTACACAGTCTGAGCAAAAAAGTGTGTTAGGAGCTTTATGTGTTTAACACACAGTGAATTGGATAACTTTACATTAGAGCTGAAAGATTAGTCGAATAATCAATAAGTCGATTGACAGAAAAATAATCAGCTTTCTCTTATTCCAGCATGTGAGCAGTTTAATTTGTCCAACGTGATAGTACACTAAATATGTGGTAAATTAATCTCAAGGTCTTACATAATAGCTTTTTAGTGGACCTAGTAACACAATATTGATAGTCTTCATCAATGGTTAGAAAGCTCTGGAAAAAGCTAGAAAGTGGACCTTGAGTTGAGATTACTTCACAAAACTATTCTTTCTCTCTACCCTTAAATTTAGAATAGACAATGAGAAAGTGGAAGCTCTGTACTCTACCACAACGATGCCACTGCTTTCAGCTGTAATGTGAGGGTGTTAACATTCACATCAGATTGAACAGTTGATAAACTGCAGGCCTTTAAATACATAGTAAGCTTAAATGAAGTCATCATATTTTATATCTGGCTGCAGCTGAACACACAGTCGACACTTAGTGTGTTCCCAGATAATGCTCCATCAGGCCTGTAGCGGGAACATCTTAATTTCTTGCTTGTTTCTAGAGCTGGATGTCTTCAAAAATTTACTGGAGCCTATACAATGCCTGCATTTTGGTATCAATACCCGACCTATACTCTATTCCATACCTTATTTGAGACCCATTTTTTTTCTACAAAAGAAGCCCAACGTTGCCTGTAAGTTAATTTACAAGAAGCTGTATGTGAATTTATAAATTAAATATAATAAAAATAAATAATAAAATAGTCCAATTATCACATTTCAGTGAGGCTCTCCTGGCTCTTTGCTTTCAGTCTGGTCTTTAGCAAGTCAATCACATGCTCAGTTAGACTGCGGTCAGGTGACAGACTTGACTAGTCAAGAACACGCCCCCCTTTAACCATATAAATTGCTGAGTTGCCTCATCTGAATGTTTAGGATTATTGTCCTGCTGCACTCCTAACCTCATAGTCATTATTACATTAAACAGCAGTTAAAATGCAATTTGCTGGAGTGGAGCGAAAATAATGCCAAACATGGCACTCCCTTCATACTTTTTAATTTCACAATTACTTTACCTGGCATCATATCAAAAGTCAGTCAAGTGTGTTTTACAGATGCACAACATGCTATTTAAAATGAAAACAGCTTAACTGGGCACGCTTAAACACATCTTCAATATTAGTATGGAGCCTTTGGTCGGTATAGTAGTACAGCCATAAAGCACAACTCTGGTTTTAAGATGTCACTTTTGATGAAACAAGAATAAATATGTGACATTGCCATATAGTGTGCAATACTTTCTTTAAGGTCTACAGTTACATAAGAGGATATTAGGAAATGTAAGTGGAAGACTGGACTCATGAGGTTAAAAGCTTCTCATAAACAACCAGTTTAGGAGAAGTACACAGTAGATCAGGAAGAATGGGGTTAGCCACATTTACTCTCATCAAAAGCAAGTGAGAATGACGCTCAGCAGCATGAATATAAAGTGCATGCTCGATGGACGTTTCTTTATATCCTGTATATTTTTGGATAGCTGTGCAATTTAATGATTTGACCACCATCTACTAAGACACAAGCTAACGTGGTTAGCTGGTATCTGAGTGGCAATCATAGTTATTGCTTTTTAAATGTGACCCCACTGAAGTTAAAACTGAATTTTCTTTGTTTTAAAGTAAAAATTATAAATAATAATAAAGTAAACGTTTAATAAAGAGAAGATAGTTTGCGACAGAGCACTGACAAGGAATGGGTGCAATGTTTGATACTTTTTATGCATGAAGAATGCTACACTACCTTACATCCCACTTGTGGACTTCCAATAGTTAGGAAGGTTCTGGTTAAAGCTACAAGGCCTTGCATTGTGTTGTTGTAGTTTAAGTGTTTAGTCTTTTTAAGGATGTGGTTATATTTATATATATATATATATTTCAACACATTTGAACGTTTTTGTGAGTTCCACTGTTTTATGTCTTATGGGGAAAGTGCTGTTCAGGCTTAAACAGCAGCTTTTTTACCAAAGAGGTAAGCACCATCTGACACCTAACTCTTCTGGTTAAAATAGTACTGACCAAATCAATGCTGGTCAAAAGAAAGGTTAAATATTAATTCAAGTGGAATTACTGTGTTACAACTGACCCCAAGTCTTACAGTTATTACTGTCTCAACAAGATCTAAACGCGACATCAAGTGGCTTTCATGGTTTTTGGTGTTGCACAGACTTAACTGACACTTTAATGCAAATTTGTACATTGATTCATAGCCTCAATATACCAGACGATCAGATATGGTGTATGGTACCGGAGTGTTTACAAGCACACAACTTCTGCCTGTCATCGCCCAGAGGGCTCCCCTAAAGAATTCTTTTGTAATTGTTTCCACCCAGCTTTAGCAACAAAAGCTGGACAATGTCCACAGTCTCTTTTGAGGAAAAAAAAAAGCAACTTACATTACTGCGTGTGGATTCTGGAGCATGCATGCTTTAGGGCCGAACGTGGTCACAGGACTTGGTCCATGTAGAGACTGATTCCTCCTGAAAGAGAGGATGACAAAGACAATTGGATTCTGAAGAATGCAAAGAACCCCTACAGAAGAAGAAAAACACTGCTTTTAGACGTGAGCTATTTTTACACAGTAGAAAAAGAGAAGTAAAAGTTTAATTTTGTTTCAGTTGTAAAATAACATTTCCATCATTTACTGGACACTGTAAGCTGAGCTGAAGAATGGCCAGTGTTGTACACCGATGGCGGGATGTAGCTAAAATTCCTACATTTCTAAATACATGTAAGTTTCTCATCAAATAAATTCCACTTTCATTTCTTTGTTTCAAAGAAAAAAGAGAAGTGAAGCCACAGTGATTGAGACATTTAGATACAGAGCCTAAACCTAATAATTCACTCGATTTAATTCATCATCAGGTGATATCAGACACACGACCAAACTACCTGTCTATCTAATGTATTATAAAACATGCTAAATGTTCTGTGTGACCTTTGATGCTCTATACTGTGTCAAGACTTTGGCAAATGTAGTAATGCATTGTGAAATGTCTGAAAAACAAACACTTATATCTCTCCTACCTGCAGTACAAATACTGTATCAGTAAATGATGAAATAAAGTCCAACAGTTTTAAGAACCATTAATATGAACACATCAGATGTCTTTATCTACTCTGGAGTTTGAGAACACAGACTAGGTTGCAGTGGAAAAATCCTAGCACACTCTGGCTTTCCAGACTTACGACTGCGTTGCGGGTGAAAGGTCACTGACTTTGAGCTGCAATGGAGGAATACTAGCCGACTGGCTCTAACTACTGGCGTTGGAGCCGTATCACATCGCTCAGCCAGCAAATCCTCTTAGCAGTCTGATTCTGCGAATTCACCATCTGCTGTTTATTGCCTCTTAAAGCTGCATTAATCAATATTTTCATATTAACAGCCAATGAAATGAATCTGTGTAATGTGACAGGTGTTCCTCATAGTGACAAACCCACAGAGAATTATCATCGATCTGGCATCTCTACTGAGTTTTTATCCTCTTTTAGGTCATTGTTTTGGGATTAGTCAACAGGCCAGAAACACGACTCCAGTGGGATGATAATGCTGGTTGTCTATCAGGTATTAGTAGGATACTGTTTACTAACAGCTTACTAACGGTTCTTTTGCCCTCTACTGGACAAAATGTTTTTAATGCACCTTTAAGATTTACATTCACCATCTCAGCAACAGCACAACAAATAGCAGAGGAAAAAAATTCCCATCCCAACTCCCAAGGGTCCGTAGTCATGTCCTAAATATGTCTTGGGTTTAGACTAACCAACTAACAAAGATAAACAGTCAATAACCCAAAGATATTCAGTTTAAATTGACAAAGATACAAAGAAAAAAAATCCTCTCATTTCACAAGCAAAGGAAACACTAGAATATAAACTTTACATGCAACAACAAAGGCCAGTCATATTACTGACTGTCAAGATGCTCTGTGCCAAAGGGTATCCTGTTATAATCATTCTGGCAGGGTTGATGATCAAAGAAAACTGAGAGCAGAGAAAGCTTTCACTTTTAACATTTACATAACATTTTTAACATTTCAATCCAACATTATATATTCATCAAGTTCCCCCCCCATATAACTCCTCTTGTATTTTGAAATGTTTCTTCATGTCGACAGTAATCCATCAAATATTATGTTACGTTGGTAAAAAACCCAAATGATTGCACAAATTTTTACAAAATTCTATGATTAAATTCACCAATACTTATTCTGCCATGTTAAATAGTAACTCCAAGCACCCTTCAGCCAAGGAACCCACTTCCCTCATGTTTGTTTTTTATGAGTCACTGCCCTATAAGCATAAAATAACTCTCCACAATTCTAAATTCAACACCAATCCTCACCAAATGTCAAAAACGAGAAGTGTCATTGCCAAACTAAGATAAACTCAATGAAACTGAATATGTGGGAGTATATTTCAACATCTTGGACATGTGTAATCTTTGAATGACAGTTCACTTCCTCATTTCCTCATCAATAATGGGACAGTCCAGATTGCTACTTCAAGGACATGTTAAGGTAGGTCCTCGCCGTTTCCACTTCTCCTTGTAAGAAACCTCACGACTGTTGCTAAAACATACAAACAAAGGCCCCTTGCAACAACCACAGTGAACAAACATTTCAGGGTGTCAGACCTTCGGTTTCCTTGACACCATTGCTGTTATCGTTGGAGGGATTGTGCACATATGTGTTTCTCAAATGTCTGAGGTAGTGCAACAGAGATCATGTCACAAGGCTGTTTCAAAAACATTTCTCATGAAACCCAAAGCAAGAGCAGCTGTTCTTAAATACCACACAGCAGTTACTCTGGTTATTGTGTTGTGGCATGTGTTCTTCATTTTAATACGAAAGGCAACAAATGATGTAAAACTGACATGACCAGCTAGACAACATCATAAACAACGACCCCAAAATACAAATGCAGTAAAACCAGGCATGTTTAGATTTAGATTAGTTCTCAAAGGGGGATAAGTCTGATAGGTACATATCTATAAGGTTCTAAGCTAAAAGCTGATTCCACATCTATCAGTGAGACCATAACCATTAGTAAAAGATCCTATTTAGTAGTCTGGCTAGAAAAGCAGCCGGTTAAATGCATGGTCTAGGAAATAATGGCATCTTGTAATGATCTAGTTATACAAATCTCATGACCTATAGCTCCAAACATAATAACAGGCTTGTCATCAACATAAAGAAATCATGTTATATCTGTGGGCCCCTGTTCAACGCCCACCTGTACTCAGAGGAGCTGCTGGCTGAGGAGGTGCTCAGGCTGCGGGTCTTCCTGTTGCGTCTAGCCAGGCTGCGGCCGGCGACCTCTCCTCCATCACAGGTGGAGCAGCAGTACGGGGCAGCTTCCACTCTCACCTCCTCTCCACCGTCCATGTCAGACAGCCAGGCTGTAAGTAAACTGAGAGGACACGGCAATCATTGACAGAGCTTCAGTCAAATAATGAGGCATTCGAGCGTTAAGTCAACTTAGTCACACTGCGCAGAAAATCGCCCATGCACGGTGGAAACGCAGCTCCAAACACCATTGGAGAATTGTGCAACTGTATTATTGCTTCAGAACCGCGCAAACACCTTACAGAATATTACTCTACACAAAGTGTACATAGATACATTAACAGTCAGTCTATCATTCGGCGCACATACAATCCAACAGGCCGTACACATATCTGGATATTTCCCACTTTTAATATTGGTTTTAAAACATGCATCCGACAAATTACAGAAAAAAACAATACTGTGAAGTTCAAACTATTTCTAAGTCTATGTGAATTTGAAATAACACGCTAACGTTACCGACATACAGTTACAGTCCGATACATTTGAGTTTAAAGTGAAAGTTACGTGTAAAGCAGCACATTAGCGGAGTTAGCTAACGTTAATGAATCATAACAAGGTCCCATCATCTGAGGTTACCGTCGGCTAGACAACCGGATTAAAAGCTAGCTATAACCTAGCTATGTACAGTTTAATTATTGTGTCACAGCTTAGTGAGGCTGCCGGCGTCGTTGTCACTCAAACTAGCTAGCTCTGCAAGTTTCCTAAAAGTCCAATTATTGTTCAACCGACACCGAAATACAAGAGTGTCCAGCGGATGAATGGTGACGAAGCCAGACCGTAGTTACAATATTCACAGTGAGCTAACTAAGCTAGTGGGAAGCTAGTTAGCGAGCTAAGCTAGTAGTTAGGCATATTCAACACAAAGCGTAATATGAACTACTTCTGTGGCCAACTGTACCTTTCACCCACAACGTTACAGGGCACGACACAGATTGGGAGCGCAGGAACCTGCCGTGGGATCAGAGCCTCACCATTGTCCCCTCAGATAATAATGTTACACCATCTTACTTTACATGAGAGCTGTCAACAGTCAGCTCATCACTTCCTGATACTGACCGACCAATCACAGGCTCGCTCGCTCCCCGCCGGTGTCATTTTGGACTGAACGGTGTAATTACATTATAATGAAGGTCCTATACGTGAGGCTGCTGTATGAATTAACTGGTTATTATCGATATTAGCAGTCATCATGTTAACAGTTGAATTACACTGTATAGCTTTTGGTTTATTTTTACAATAGGGAACTGTTTATTAGAACAGAATGATAATTACTAGTATAATAGCATTTATTATCACACTCATTCTTATATAATATAGAACTAATAGAAACTTTTTTCTCTCTTGTGCTACATTTGCTGAATGTATATGCCAGTACATTGCCAGTTGTTGATATTGATAATTCAAAATGTACCAAAGCAAACCGTGTCCCCTATATCCACTATATCCACTATATACTGTTCCTATAGGTTTATTTCTCTGTGTGATTTTGAACAAGTTCTACGTGTCAACTCATCCCAAAGTGGCAACTAGCACTTTTTCCAGATTGTCTGAATATGTCATCTGGACAGTGATGCAATAGGACTGAATGTGGTCTGACCGCTCTGCATGACCAGAATATTTTTTCCTAGGGGCCATGAGGCAAACATTTGGTGCTGGCCCCCCATTGCCAACTGGGGGTTGGACCTGGGGCCTTGGGCGGTTTGTTGGTAATCCAGTCTGACATACCTTTGGGTTCTTGTCTCGAAATATGCAGGTGGTCTAGGCCGTTCGGTTAAGAGGTTATTGCCCGTTCACTGTGTCATAGATGTGCTCAGTGAACTGGAAATGTTCATTATAAAAAAAGGTTAATCTCATATCAGTATGGAACATATATCTAAAACAGTGTTACCTGTTTTCATTCATTCACTCATAAGCAACTTCTCAGTTTCTAACAATGTGAGTAAATGTTATATGAGAAATAAATGAGCTTTTGATGTAATCACTTAACATGCAGTATTACTGCTACAATGAAAGTGTTATCTCCACAAAGAGGAACTGTACAGTGACACTGCTCTGACTGACTTTCATTTATTTGACACAAATGATTTGTGTACTGTATGATGATTCATCATCATCTTGTTATATGACAAAATAATAATAATCTTTTAAATACAATTTAAAAAAAACTCAATCTGGCTAAAGAAACTTTCTCATTGCATTTCATGCTTCTGTCCAATAGAGGGCGAAAAAGGTCAGGAAGTGTTTCCAAGCATATACACCAAAGAAAAACACCAATCCAACAAAGGGGGAAATAAATAAGCTACTGATGAGTGAAATGCGCTTTAGCGAGACATTTAAGCAACCTGGCAGTTAATTGACCTTACCAAACATTGACAAGTCAAATGTCAGTAAAATATGTTAATGTGTGGTAGATTTCCTTCACTCACCAGCCAAAATGTGGCTTTATTCAGTAGCTGGTTAAAATTGACCGCTCCCTAGCCATTGACCAGTGGACAAAAAGTTTATTTTGCAACCTGCTGAAGTTTCAGTCCTCCCAATAGGTATATAAGGTGTCCCTATGCGGTCAGTGTAAATGGCTACCTTGTGCAAATGACTGTACAGAGGAGTCAGACTGATTCAACAGTGGATAAGAAATTGTTTATTTGACTTGAACATAATTACAAGGAAACCAAACAGTCTGCAACATTCTAGCATCAGTGGAAACCGCTCTAAGTGAATCACACTCAACACAGTAGGTCATCTCAAACTGCTTTTTATTACATCTTAAATAACAGTACATTTTAATATAGTTTCTATCTTGCATCCAGCTTTCGGTTGTACACTGACTGACTTTAAAATTAAATACAAAAGGTGAAAAGGGAACAGTGGGGGTGCAGAGCTCTACAGTTATTTGATGGAGAAAGAGAGAAAAGGAAAGGGAATTTAATTAATTTTTAATATTTTTTATTTCATTTTATTTTTTGCCAACTCCAGGCCTAACGCACAATTACAGCACATTTTTTGTACAGAATGTCGCAGAGAAAAAACAGAATGGAAAAAATGTCACTACTGCTAAAGAAAGAGCGTCTCTGTTTACAAGGAGAAGGGAACAACAGAAAATTCTGCCATTCAGATGCTGCAAGATTTTTTTTTTTCATTTTTTATTAAAGGACAGAAAAAAACCTGTTATAAAATGTTTTTCTTTGTAAGTGGAATTTTGTTTGCTACAGAAGGAATGAAATTTTATTTGTTCCATTTGAGATTGTGTATGTTTAGGTGAATGAATGTACGTATGCATGTGTGTACAATTTAAACATTTACGTTACTTCTTAATTTGTGGAATCCCTCCCAAGTATGGACCAAGTAACCGTTTATGTTGCAGGGTTTGCTTCTCAAGTGCATAGCTTTGACATTAGAGTTGAATCATGTATGCACGGAGTAGCCAAAAACAAAAAGAAGAAAAAAAAAAGAAAAAAAAAAAAAAAAGAAAAAGAAAAAATATAAATACCATTGTATTGATATATTCAACAGGTTATTTTCTTAAAGAAAAACATCAAAAGGACTTAATTCCATATGCACCTTTTTAAGCAATTCTACAGCATGCGATTCTAAGAGATAACCCACCCATGGCAGACAACCAAAATCTTTTTTTTTTTCGTTTTTAACTTAAAAAGTTTCAATATCATTATTTTCAAACATTGATTTATACAACATGTCATTCACAGAGTAGTAACTGCATTTCCAAGCACGGAATGGGCACCTCTGTTAAAAGAGAAACGTCCGGATTGTAACCGGGCTAAAGTGGAGGTACTCCCTACCCAACCAATTCACATCACCGGTCCCAACCACGGGCAACAGAAACCAGGGAAAACAAAACTAAATTAAAGGAGAAAAAAAAAAAGAATAAAAAAGGGGGGAGGGGTGGATTATGATCTGATGGGTTAATCTTCATTTAATTATTCTACACTGTCGCCAGACAAAAAGGTGTAAGAATGGTTAAAATGGTTTGTTTTTTTTTTGTTGTTTTTCGTTTTAAAAACGAGCATTCATTATCATAAACAGCATGTGCTTGGTTAGTTTAACTTTTTTTTTCTTTAGACATTATTCTATATATGCAAAGTTTAATTTTTGTGCAAACAAAGATTTGTGGACTACACTGGAAAAAAAGAAACAGTAAAAGTATCATGGGACTAAATATACAGAAGGACCAGAAGTGGCTTGAGGACTCCCTGTTGAAGCTCAATTCTCTCGCTTTGTTCTCCAGTGGGATAAAGCTGGATTTAAAATGACGTGATCTGGAGGTTCTTTTAGTTTCCAACTTAAAAACATTTTCTAAAATGTGTAAAGACTAGGAAATAAAACAAAGCTTTGTTCCTCATTTTAAACATTAACTGACAGTTCACTGATCTACTTCTCTTTAACAAAACAAAAATAAAAATAATGAAAACAACAAAGAAACAAAAATAAACATGGCCAAAAAGCTAATAAGAGTTAGATCACTGTCATGTAATAACCTTCACTCAGACCTGTGTATAATGAGGACGCAGGACATGTTTGCTTGGTGGTGGCGGCAGCGGCGGTGGGGTGTTTGTATTTTCACTTACTAGAATACCAGACCATGGTCATGGGAGGAATGCACAATTTCCCCCTCCGTTCCATTTTGAAACCACTAAATTCCTCAAGCTTTTTTTTTCCTTTTTTTTCGTTTTTTTTTTGGTAGCTGAATGAGTGACAGACAATTGTGCTCTTTTAAATGAGAAGGAGAGAGAGAGAGAGAGAATTTTTGCCCTTGATAGTTTTTTGGGGTGTTTGGAGTCAGTATCATGGTGTTTTTGAAAAGATTGGATATGCAATAAAATTGAACATTGTGATGTTGGAATGGTCTTCCACTCAACTTCGGAGTCCAGATGCCATCTGGAAAACAAACAAAAGAATCATCATTATTATCTTCAGTAAAGTCAACAGTAAAATTATTCAATCAAAGTTGATCATATGTGCGTATCACTTCCTCCAAGTTTGATTAGCACTCACAATTATTCACAAACTGCAGACAAAAACTGCTCACACATTTATTTTATAAATATAAAATTATATTATACATTTTATATGCTAAATATTTCTAGTCCAATCTCAATATCACGTTACTTTCTGAAGCTATGAGAACAAAACATGATAGATCAGGCAGAAATTGTCACTGCACAGTAAAAAAAACAACATTTAACTGGATGAAAAACATTTGAAATCCAGTGAAATTTAACACTGGGGCCCTCAGGTATAATAATTCCACTATGTGTGCTGATGTGATATAATGTTTGATGTTTGTTTCACATTATGTTTCATATGTTGTGCCTTCCTTGCCAGCCACCAGGTGGCAGTAAATACAAATTCTAGATGAGGTCCCATGTGGCTGATGCTGTTAATAAACCATTGCTCTGACAGCAAGTTCCTCTCAGTTCATCATTTACCTTCAGACTCTAGTTCCAGATCTTGAGGAAGCTGTCCCAGGACCCTGTTGCCACTGCCATGCCGTCGTCGGTCACACCCAAGCAGCTCACCCGGTTATCATGACCAGCCAAGACACCTGCGGAGACACCAGAGGCTAAGATACAGCAACAAATCTGCTCTGTCTCATGGATACCACATGCTAGGTAGGTAAGTAAAGCCAGAATTTTAAATTGGACATTGTGGTAACCTGGTTTGATTCGTAAAATGTGAAACATGAAAAAAAAAAAAGGTGAAAAAAGGTGAAAAAAGGACAAGGTGACACAATCTGCTTCAGGGCATTTGGGGTCTTGATACCTGCCTGCCTGCCTAATGTGTTTTGGTTCTTTGGTTCAAACCACAAAGACCTCCAAATGCCACTTGCTGAGCTTTTAGACAATTATTAAAGGCTTATACTGACTCAATATGTTGATAATCAATATTTTACCCACCAATGGAGCAAATACCTGTGTGTTTGTATACTTGAAATAGCCTGCTCAGATGTGGGCCTCCTCTGATCCCTATCCCACTATGCAGTCAATAGCTGTAAAGTATTCATGCCCCCATAGGGGCTCTCCACTGCTGGAGCA